CCCCACACTTCGAACTATGTTTTTCCCTGAAGATCATCCTAGAAGCTAAGCTTAAGCCCTAAATGCTGAACCCAACCACTTCGCCTTCTGTTCTGTGCCGTCTTGGAAAGAGGCAAAGACTCCGGCAGAAAACGCTCTCCACTCTCTCCACCCTCTGATGGATTAAAGGGCACGAATACTAGTGTTTGGTCTTTTAGAACTGTCAGCAATTCACGATCACAGATCGCAACAGTTGCGAGTTGTTGCTGCTGTCAGATTTGCACAACATGCCAAATGCCAGTGCATGGCAGTGGGCTCAGCAAGAAGGTTAATGCACCAGGCCCCCCGGTTCTGATGGGTTGTGCGAGGTCTTTCGGGGTCTTGCCGAGGTGGGTGGGACACCGGGGGCGGCACTAAGGCGGCCTCCTCCGCCGATGAGCACCCCCCCCTCGCCCGAAGTCCTCCCGTCAGCGCGACAGTGCCAACTTCATTCGTCTTCTTGCTTCCTTCACTCACAGGTCCATTCTTGCTTCCGCACTTGTGCTTGGTTGCACCCACCCCTCGCCGCGTCATGTGCGCAAGCGAATCGTCCCGATATCTTGGCCCTCTCAGGGCTCCTGGTCCTTCAGTGTGAGCGTACTGCTCCCCCCCAGCCCGTCCTCAGCGTCACCATTCTGGGCCGCAAGTCCATCTACGTAGTAAGCTATTTCCCTTTCTCTCGAGCCGTAAACCTGGGGTTGGGCCTGCTGTAGCGTAAATCAGCCTCTTCAGGCCCAAAACCCCCTTTCTCGAGCCGTAAACATGGGTCTGGGCCAGTTGTTAGGCCCACTTGGCCTGGTCAGGGCTCGAGGTCCTTCAGCGTAAGTGTGCAGCACCCCCCTTCCCGTCCTCCAGGGTCACGAGCCCATCAGCGTCACCAACCTGCGTCCCAAATCGGCCTTCTGGGCCGCTGGTCCATCTGCGTAGTGCGCAAACCCCCTTTCTCGCGCCGAAAACCTGGGGTTGGGCCAGCCAGCTGTAGCTTAAAACAGCCTCTTCTGGCCCAAACCCCTTTCTCGAGCCGATAAACATGAGTCTGGGCCAGTTGTACGGCCCACTTGGCCTGGTCAGGGCTCGTGGTCCTTCTGCGTAAGCGTACAGCACCCCCCTTCCCGTCCCCTAGGGTCGCGAGCCCATCAGCGTCACCAACCTGCGCCCCAAATCGGCCAAATCAGCCTTCTGCGCCGCTGGTCCCTGCGTTGTAAGCAAAACCCCTCTCTCGAGCCGACAACCTGGGGTTGGGACAGCTGTAGCTTAAATCAGCCTCTTCGGGCCCAAACCCCCTTTCTCGAGCCGAAAACATGAGTCTGGGCCAGTTGTAAGGGTCACTTGGCCTGGTCAGGGCTCGTGGTCCTTCTGTGCAATAAGCGTGCAGCACCCCCCTTCCCGTCCCCAGGGTCCCGAGCCCATCAGCGTCACCAACCTGCGCCCCATATCGGCTTCTGCGTAGTAAGCAAACCCCCTTTCCCGAGCTGTAAAGGGCCAGCTGAAGCTAAAATCAGCCTCTTCTGGCCCAAACCCCCTTTCTCGAGCCGAAAACATGAGTCTGGGCCAGTTGTAAGGCCCACTTGGCCTGGTCAGAGCTCATTGCGTAAGCATGCAGCACCAACCCCTTCCCGCCCCCCAGGGTCACGAGCCCATCAGCGTCACCAACCTGCGCCCCATATCGGCCTTCTCGGCCACAGGTCCATCTGCGTAGTAAGCAAACCCCCTTTCTCGAGCCGTAAACCTGGGGTTGGGCCTGCTGGAGCTAAAATCAGCCTCTTCAGGCCAAAACCCCCTTTCTCGAGCCGTAAACATGGGTCTGGGCCAGTTGTTGGGCCCACTTGGCCTGGTCAGGGCTCGTGGTCCTTCAGCGAGCGTGCAGCACCCTCCTTCCCGTCCTCCAGGGTCACGAGCCCATCAGCGTCACCAACCTGCGTCCCAAATCGGCCTTCTGGGCCCCTGGTCCATCTGCGTAGTACGCAAACCCCCTTTCTCGCGCCGAAAACCTGGGGTTGGGCCAGCTGGCTGTAGCTTAAATCAGCCTCTTCTGGCCCAAACCCCCTTTCTCGAGCCGATAAACATGAGTCTGGGCCAGTTGTACGGCCCACTTGGCCTGGTCAGGGCTCGTGGTCCTTCTGCGTAAGCGTACAGCACCCCCCTTCCCGTCCTGTAGGGTCCCGAGCCCATCAGCGTCACCAACCTGCGCCCCAAATCGGCCAAATCAGCCTTCTGCGCCGCTGGTCCCTGCGTTGTAAGCAAAACCCCTCTCTCGAGCCGACAACCTGGGGTTGGGCCAGCTGTAGCTTAAATCAGCCTCTTCAGGCCCAAACCCCCTTTCTCGAGCCGAAAACATGAGTCTGGGCCAGTTGTAAGGGTCACTTGGCCTGGTCAGGGCTCGTGGTCCTTCTGTGCAATAAGCGTGCAGCACCCCCCTTCCCGTCCCCAGGGTCCCGAGCCCATCAGCGTCACCAACCTGCGCCCCAAATCGGCATCTGCGTAGAAAGCAAACCCCCTTTCTCGCGCCGAAAACCTGGGGTTGGGCCAGCTGAAGCTAAAATCAGCCTCTTCTGGCCCAAACCCCCTTTCTCGAGCCGAAAACATGAGTCTGGGCCAGTTGTAAGGCCCACCTGGCCTGGTCAGGGCTCATTGCGTAAGTGTGCAGCACCAACCCCTTCCCGTCCCCCAGGGTCCCGAGCCCATCATATCGGCCTTCTCGGCCACAGGTCCATCTGCGTCGTAAGCAAACCCCCTTTCTCGAGCCGAAAACCTGGGGTTGGGCCAGCTGTAGCTAAAATCAGCCTCTTCTGGCCCAAACCCCCTTTCTCGAGCCGAAAACATGGGCCTGGGCCAGTTGTAAGGCCCACTTGGCCTGGTCAGGGCTCGTGGTCCTTCAGCGTAAGCGTACAGCACCCCCCTTCCCGTCCCCCAGGGTCCCGAGCCCATCAGCGTCACCAACCTGCGCCCCAAATCTCGGCAGAGCATGTGTCGTATTGCTGTGTCTACCTTCTCTCACAAAATTTGCTTCTTTGAGATGTTAGGTGCGCCATCCTGGCATCCGTAGATACACTTGCCCGCATGCGCCATGTGTCCGCCGACCTCCTCAAGCAAAGGCTTTGTGCTGTACGTGTTCAACTCTTGTAGGCCTGCCTCGCCCGCCATGGACCCATCATGGCAAGAGGATGCGCGTCGCGCTGTGCGCATGTAGCGCATCTTGGAAGTGCAGCACGTGCCAGGCGAGGGCGAGCAGGGACTGCAGGAGGTTTAGGGGCATGGCGAGCTTGTGCCGAGGGGAGCCCACTGCGTGGTTTGGCCGAAATCCCTCGCGGCGGACCTTGGAGGCGCGCACTGGAGGGGGAAGCACTAGGAGTAATGCGGCCTGGAGCACTGCTTCCAGCTTTGCTGGAGCTGTTCACTGGGGCGCCCTGTGCCCAAGGCGAAGGTACACGTGCTGGCGGACGTGGAGGGCGAGGAAGTCCGCGGAGCTGACCAGTTGACATAGTGGAGCGGGGGGCCTGGGAAACTGTGCGCACATCCTCGATGCCGGGCGGTGGAAGGCCAGCTGCAGCCTCTGTGAGGCATGCCGGAGGTAGCGCCGCCAGCCATCACCACACGGAGCTTTGCACTTGGGGAGCATCGCGGCGCCAGTGGACCTCCACCCCGAGTACGTCCACCCCTGCAAGCATCTCGTACTTTGCAGTCTCGTGAAGGCTGTGGCCGCGCTCGCTCCCGCAGTCCAGCCCGCACACGGAATCGTCGGGGCTGAGGCCAAAGATGGCAGCTCGCCCTCCTTTAGCAGGACGAGGAAGTTGCACCGGCACACCTTCGCAGCCAGCTCCGCTCACAGTATTTCGGTCTGCCCAAACAGCCACTCAAGCGGCTACTCGGAAGGGCACGGCCAAGCAGAAGCGAGCCAACCTTACCACCGTCTCTGCTTCCCCCACCTCACCGACAACTTTGAAGCCTGCGACCTCACCTCCATCGCGTCTGCCGGCAGGGCTACACATTATCGGCTTACCCCGACGGCCCAACATCAGTCAGTTGGAGGCTCTTCTGAGCCATGTGGCGGGAATCTCGCCCTCACTGGCTGCTCTGGAGCCCAGCTTCCAGCTTGCGCAGACCCGACGGAGTTCTCGCAAGTCCCCGGCTTTCTTCTTGTCGCACGTCGCCTTCGCCACGCCGGGCCTGGCCGACCGCATCCTGAAGGAACTCCTGCCAGCGGCGAGCCAGGACCAGCATGGTCGAGCCAAGCTTGCGTCTCCTGTGGGTACCCTCAAAATCTCACTGGCCAGGAGGTCAGTGACACCGGCGCTGCCAGCGCCCGAAGTCGACTCCTCAACCAACCCAGCCTCTTCGTTCCCAGCTGCGGAGCTCGACCCGCCTGATGAATCTGGTCCCTCGGTCTTCTTGGGGCTTCGCCTGGTCCAATTCACAGCGGGTGCTTCGGAAGAGGGCTGGACATGTGTGTGTTGTCGAGACGACATCCTGGCCACTGACAAGCTCGTACGACTGGAATGCCTCCACGTAGTACATTCAGACTGCCTTGAACGTTGGCTCAACGCCCCGCACGCTCGAGGTCGTTGCCCGGAGTGCAACGCTCCAGTACTTTAAGGGCTGATCGGGTCTAGGTAGCCTTCTGTGAAATCCACGGTCGCAGTTGTACAGCTTTTGTCCGATTCTTCAACTGCGCTGCCTTTCTCGTATTTCTTCACCACTCTGCTCTGCGTGGCCGGCTCACACCGCGAAAGGTCCAACAAACTTTCTTGGTGCAGTAGCCTCACCTCCGTAGTGCGGTACTCCCCTCATTGTTCCCAATCTGTCCACGAGCAAGCAGTAAGTAGGCGCTTATGGTCACCTGCTCGCCTTCAGTCATGCGCCCGCCCGGCATGCTTTCATGCTGTAGATTTTGCTCGTCATGTCCTTCTACACTCCTCCCAACCGGCCTCGGCTCTAGCCATTCTGTAGTTGACCCCCTTTTTAGTTCAGTCTCATCCTTTGGCATGGACCTTCTTGAAGATGGTGGCGACTCCTCGTCTTCGGCTCCTTCTACACCTCGCGCGGCTGTTGAAGCGGCCGACGATCGTCTACTTGTCGCAGTAGGGGAACAACAGTCTCCACCCTCTTTCTCGGGACAATGTTTGGGAGACGACATGTCCTGGAGAGGCTCGCAAGTGCTCCGCCTGGCAACCGTCCAGTGCGGCAGCACAGGTCGGAATCGACACCAATGCGGTATTTGGCAGGGGCAGAGCTTGGCCACACTGGGGGCGGACGTGGCCTTTCTCACGGAGACAGCGCTGCAGAGCGATGCGCAACACGCGCTAGCGTGCAAAGGCCTGCTTGCCGCTGGCTACCGGGCAGTCAGCCACGGCCGCTCCCCTCAGTGTCCCAGCTCTGGTTCCACCTCCTCCTCCTCCTCCTCCTCATCTGGGGCCGGCTCAGGCGTCCTCCTTGCAGTTCGGGCAGGCTACTCGGGTGGTTGGAGCGATGTTTCCAGGCACGCGTAGCTGCAGTTTTGCATACTCAAAACGGCCTCAGCCTGAGAGTCGCTGCGATCTACGGCCCAGTCGGTGCCTGCTTGCCGGACTTTGGTGTCCGCCACGCCTCCTCTCTTCACGATGAACAAGCCCTCAAAGAGTTTCTGGACACCCAAATTAGGAAGGCCGCTGAACATCAACAGCTACTCATCGTCGGGGGTGACCTCAACTCCTTCGTGTCCCAAGAGCTTGATTGTTGGGAGGGCACATGCTCCGTCCGTCCAGCCTCCTTGGCACCTTTCCTTCAGGCACGTGGCTTCCTGGACATGTTCCGCGTCAGGCACCCTCGACTTAAAGCGTTCACCTTTTTCTCCCGGGCGGGTTCAGCAAGCCGGCTTGACTCCATATGGTGGTTGCCATGCCCATCCTTGGAAGTTCATCTTCTCAACGCCTCGATTCTATGGAAGTGGGACCGCCGGGTCGACCACGACCCCGTGCTTGCTGATCTTGCGCTGCAGCTGCCCGCGGTGCCAGACACTTCCCCTCCCGCAAGGCCTTGGCGAAACCTGGTGAGTCGACTGGACACTGACCTGCCATCGGTCATTTCCTCTCGGGCCGCTCAGCACACTGCACGGTTGTCGCAACTTGCGTCAGCGTTGTCCTCCCTGGAAGAAGAGTGGCGAGCCTTGCCTCAACCGCCCTGCGAAGGCCTGGACGGCTTCCACGGTTTGCCCTCCCTCACTCCTCCGGAATCTTTCACTGAGCGCGTGCAGTCCACTGTGGATGGCGTGATGTCGGTTCTTATGGCCGTCCTTCCCGCAGTGCACCCTACGCACCCTGTGCCAGAGCGGCAACTAGGCCGTCAAGCAGAAGCTTGGCACGCGTGCCTTCTTGAACTCAGGCGCGTTCGAACAGCGGTGCGAGACGCGCTCCCGTCTTCAAGACATAGCCTCAACCTCGCACGCTTCCCACTTTCCACCGCTGCCACGCTGTGGTCCAAAGCAGTGGACATGGAAAATCATGCCAGGCAGGATGGCGCTGTTGACCGACCGGGGCTCCCTGCCTGGGATCTTTTTCTCCGGGATCGAGTAGAGTGGGCTTCCAGCCTCGGTTTTGACTCGTCCGTAGCCCCTCTGGCAGCAGCACTCGATGACGAACAGCCGAGGCTTGCTGGCAATGTTTCTTTTCGTTGGCCTCCAGCCCCCACCTGGACCTCCTCACCCCCTTCGCCCTCTCCGGCACAATGCCTTCAATTGCTAGATGACAGCATCGCAGAGGCAGCCAAGCGTCAATCTGCTGTCGCTCAGAGCTCAGTTCGCTCTTCTCGTCAGCTACGCATATCCTTGTTGCGTCGAGGTGACGCCAAGGGCTGGGCCTCCCGTATGCGCCCTGCCTCCTTGCCACAGGCCCGCTACTCTCCAGAGTGGGTCGCGGATGCTGACGGCTCCCGCCGCCGCCCCTGTAGCACAGGCGACGTGCTTCAGGGAGCCACGCAAGAGTGGTCCAGGCTGCTGCAGCAACCTCCCCAACCATGGCAGCATGCCTCCACACTGTCTTTCACTGACGGCAACGGTGCGCGCCGTGGTGCCATCGATTTCCTGCAAGTAGGTGCCTCACATCCAAACAGCGACCTTTCCCGCGTAGGTCTTGCAATGCTGTCACCTGGGCCACGGCGGCTCATCTCCTTCTCATGCAGGGGCCAATGTGAGCTATGTGCACCCGCAATGCTTGCGCGTTCGCACAGACACAGGTGCGTGGCTCCTAAGGCTTGAGCATCAGGATTGGTGGGCCACCAGGCCGCTCCCCTGCTCAGGGTCACCCCTTAAGGTTCTTTCCCTCGGGCGCCATCCTGCAAACAGCCTCTCGTTGGAGCACTTTCGTTGGGCACCCTCCCCCAGCGTTTTAGTTCTCCGTTGCCCGGACCCTGTTGACTACAGCTTTGTGGAACGCACGTCCCAGCTCGAAAAGAGCTCCCTGCTTTCCCGCTTCCGTCACTCTCGGCCGGGCCCCAGCGGCTTTCATTGAGGCTTTTCCGGAACCGTTCCGCGACACTTTCTGGCGCTCCCTCGACCTTCAACGCCTCACCGGCGTAGTGTCGCGCACCTTGCAACATGCAGACCAAGTTCACTTGGCTAAACCATCTGGCGGCTGGCGTCCTCTATCCATGTTGGAGGAAAACCTCAAAGCCATAGAGGCTCCAGTCGCCGAACGCCTGGCGCTATCTCGTCATGGCTGGTGCCCTACAGAGCCCTTCTCCGAGCTTAGCAGAGCCCACTCCAAGGGCGTGTCTGCTGCAGCCGAGGTACTTTATCTTGATGCACTCCTCTGTGAAGATGCTAGGCGATTCTGCCGTCCCTTTCTTCGGGTCCCGGCCGATTACGAGAAATTCTTTAACACGCTGCAGCTCACTCAAATCGATGCCGTGCAACAGGGTCGAGGCTTTCCGGATTCAGTACGCCGCCTGCACCAGGGCCTCTTCCGCACCTTGCAGGTGGCCCTGGATACCCGTTCAGGTCCCACCGATCCAGTGCCCTTGACCCGCGGCATTCCACAAGGAGCTGTGTCCTCTCCAGAGCTGTCTCGCGCAGGTCAGGACCCCCTTCTCCGCTTACGCTCCAATGATGGGGCTTCCTACACCACTAGCGCAGCGTCGTGGCTGCGGGGTATGTGGATGACATAGAACACTATGGCAATGGGTTGTCCGATCTTCCTCCCATCTTGGGCAGCTTCGCCCTGGGCAGCGAAGCTTCGGGTGTTGGCTTTGCCTGGTCGAAGTTCTCGGCTTTTGCGTCTGAGTGGGACTCAGCCCTGCCTGCCATCCAAGACCCGCGCATCCACCAAAATGGGGCCACTGTCACCAGTTGGGACATCTGGGCCGGGGGGCTCCAACACTACACCCTCCCCCGTTCAGAAGTGGACCACGTTGACACTCTTTTGGGCAAGCGGGGGACGGTGGCTGACCGCCATACTTTGGCAGCTCAAGACCTCGTAACCAAGCCAGAAGCCGTTCGTCACCGTCTCGCCTGCAAGTGCTGCTCATGGGATGAGGGGCGAGCCATGATCCAATGGATTCTCGGGGGATCTCTAGGCTATGCTCCCCTAGTAGGCCTCCCTTCACCTGCAACCCTCCATCAGGAAGATGCAGCTCTGCACCGCTTGCTCCTCTCAAGTCTGGGTACCCGAGTAACTGCTGAGCGCATGAGTCTGTCAGCCTCGCGGAGCAGCGGCGGGCTAGGGGTGCCCCTTCTCTCGGAGATGCTGGTCGCTTCCACTGCCGCTGATCTCCTTCTCCTACTAAATGGCAAGTCGTCAGCTTCACTGGTGAGCAGAGACACCCTGCGGCAGGCCTTGCGCAGCTCGCCCCACACACTCCCGACCTTCGCGGGCTTGCTTCTTTCCGCACTCAACCTCCTGGCCGGCTACGGCATTTACATCAGCCTCTCCACTGATCGCTTCGTGGCCAGGATGCTTGACAATCTCCGCCCCCCTCCCCCACATCCCTTGGTTGGCCGCTTTAAGCCAGACGTCTTTGACGCAGCTGCTCGCTACTGCAGGGTGGGCGTGCTAGCTAACTCGGTTCGCCTGGCATGGGTCTCCTTGGTAGAGCGGCGAATTCCTATGGATTCATGGCATGATGCTGAGGTGTGGGCAGAGTTTCTCCCAGCTCACTCCCCTGTCACTGCAGCCTCTTGCGCTTCTGCGGCCGCTGCAGCCCTCGCCCAGTCGAATCTGGACTGGCGTACTGAGTGCTCCCTTTTCGGTTTGGAGGTGGTGCCAGACATCTCGGAAAACTGGCCCCAGTTGGCCTGGGAAGAACCCTGGGATTTGGCCTGCACGTGCCAGAGCCCTCCTCACCCCACTACCCCATGCGTCGGATACGTCTGATGGTGCCATCTATGGAGACGGGGGGTTTTCCAAAGATGGTGCCACGTTTGCCTGTCAAGCCAGGGGCTTTGGGAGTGTTGGTCAGTATTGGGAGTCCTCAGCATGGGTTTCTCGCCAGATCCAGGGTAAGCTTCCTACGCGCTATGGTTGGGCGTCCTCTACCATTCACACTGCAGAGTTGCTCTCTTTAGCAGTCTCCCTCCGCTTTCGCCGGGCCGACAACTGGCATCTCCTGGTTTTTGACAGAAGCGCCCTCTTCGATTCTCTGCGCACAGCTTCTGCAGGTTCCTTGTCAAAGCTCCTTTCTGCCCCTTCGCTTCACTTGGTGTCGCTGCTGAAGTACGGCTTGGACGACCTCCGCCATGCCTGGGCTGCGCATTCCTGGAGGCTTCACCAGCTCGCCTTTCCCCAGCACTGGAACGTCCGTATGCCCCTCAATGACAAAATGCGGACCTTCTCACGGATTGCCTTCGTAGAAGATGGGGTGGTGGGGCTGGACATCCGCAGTCACCAGCAGTACACGTCCCTGCCCTTCCCAGTCTTCACACAAGGCAATGAAGCCCAAGACGCAGGCTGCCGTGTTGCGTCCGCCAACCCTTCTCCACCAGACGTACGGTACCCCAGTAGCGGTCCATTTGCCTGGGCAGCTTTGGATGGGCACATGGTCACGGGCCCAATTCGCCCATGCATTCGGCACATCCTACGTGCACAAAGTATCGAAGCCTGGCGTAGTCGGCCTGTCCAAGGGCTTCTGCCACGCTTGTTAGACCAGGTGTTCACCCCCACCCTGGATGTCTCAATCTACACACAGTGCAGCTTCACTACTGCGTGGTCACGATGGCTCTTGCCAGCAGACTCTTCCCCGTTAGACCTGTCTGCGATGGCGTTTCGTCTCCACCGGGCCATTGGGGGGAGCTGGACAGAACGCCTACATGCGCATGCTACTGAAGCCCCTGTTGCCTCACAATGGGCTGCCCGTGTGGATGATCCATCCCACCGTACCTGCCCCTTGTGCCGGCAGGCTCCAGGTACCCCGCGGCACGTAGTTATGGCTGTACAGCCCTGGCCCCGCTTGTGAACCTCCTGCGGGCTGGCTCCTCTCATCTGCTCGAAGCTGCCCGTCGCTGGCAAACATCTGTTCAACGGAGGGGCGGTGAACATCCCCCTTCTCCTCCACCAAGCGTTGTGGAAAGGTGGCCCATTCTTGCTGCCTGGCGTTGGCTGGTACCCATTCCAGCAAGGGAGGCCTTGCTCTCACAGGATGTCGCTGGCAGCAGTGCGGCATCTGCAAACAAGGAGTGTGGTACTGACCTGGCTTACCGTGGAGTGCTCCCCAAAGCACTGGGGGTTGCAATCTGCCGTCTCTCGCCAGCTTCTTTGGAGGACCTGGAACTGGAGCAGTTCGCCTCTCTGCGCAGCTCAGGCCCTCGCCCGCCGGCAACACCCCTTCCTGCCTGCCGCTCAGTGCTGTCAGCGCCTTGTTGTAGGTCTCCGGTTCATCCGCAGCGCGTACCATGCTAGGGTCTCCGTGTGGCTTCGTTTGGCGGAAGCCACCTTGCCGCGGCCTCCCCCCCAAGCCTTGCCTGACGGAGTGGAAGACAACCCAGCTCCTGCTGCAGCAGGCTCCCTTTCCTCCTGGCTTGGGTCTGCGACTGGCACGGCATTCATCCAAGAACTGCGCTGGGCTCTCCTCCCACAGCATGCCGCAACCCAATGCTTGCGTCGGACCGCCCCCTGCCGCCATCAGCGGGATGCGACACTGACCCAGCTCCTCCTGGATAATGGCGGCGCTTTTCTGACCGCTGGGCAGGCCTCTTGGGGTGCTCAACGTCCCTCCTGGTCAGCAGCTTTGGCGGGTCTGGCGTTGACTTGCAGATGTCCTCCCGTGGAGCATCAGGATCAGGCTTTGGCCTGCTGGCACTGTGGTGGGGTCTCCCTGCCAGTGCACGCCCGTCCTGCGCTACCTTGCCCCTGGTGCCGCGGCTCGAATGGCCCGTCCTGTGCTTCATGCAACGTGGTCATCCACTTTCGTGGGCGCTGCCGTTGGAACTGCGGTGCGCATCGTGCGTATGACACTTCCGCGCTCTCCAACTGCTGGCAAACTTGGGCCCATAGCCTGGCCGCAGCACCTCACCGCGCTGATGCTGCGCCTGTCTCTGACCGGCTTCTCCTTCACCTTCGTGGGTTGGCGGCTGCGTGCACCGCCGGCGCTGGGTCCGGGCAAGTGCACTCCACTCCTCTCCCTACCAGGCGGGTCCGACGCTGGCTGCTGCGACGCCTGTCTTCTGAGGGTCACGCCCCGCTCTCTCTGCTACTGCAAGAGCTGCGGCAGCTCGCGCAAGGGGTAGCTGAAGACTGGCCGCCCGTTGCCCTCTCTCGTGCTGTCCGGGCCCTTCAAAATGAAGGCCTGGCCGTAGTGAACGTAGACTCCTTGGAGTTGCTGCGTCCGCGTAAAAGTCGGTGAGCACTTAGAGACCAGACATCTAAAGGGGTCATGGGTGTGGGGGATCCAGGCCCTACATATCAGGCCCAGGCCCCCATTCTCACCTCGAACTCTTGGGTCTGGGACTGAGGGCTGTCAGGTGCAGTTTAAGCTCCGCCACATCACCTTTGTGGGCTGACAGGAAAGTGGCTTAAAATACCACAGGTCCCATCTCTCGTCTTCATATACTGGACTTGTGCTGGTTTGAAGCGTTTGGTACCCCCTGCGCCTTCCGGGTTGGGCTGGTCGTGGGCTTGTTTGTTCTCCGCCCCCGTCGTGGTGCGTAAGCAAGTACCCCCTTCGTGGTGCGTAAGCAAATAGCCCCCGTCGTGTGTAAGCAAATAGCCCCTCATCTTAGCAGTAGCTCGCAGCACCCTTCCCCTCCCAGGGACCCGGAGTCTTCAGCTAACCAACCTGTGCCCCACCTCTGTGCCTCCCAAGGCCGCGTAAGCAAACCCCTTTTCTTGAGCCGAAAACCTGGGTTTGGGCATTGGGCCAGTTGCAACTAAAATCAGCTCTTCTGGCCCAAACCCCCTTTCTCGAGCCGTAAACCTGGGTTTGGGCCAGTTGAAGCAAAAACCGTTCTCGTGCATTCTGGTCCACTTGGCCTTCAGGCCCCCATCCCGTCCTCGCAGGGCCCGGGTGTAACCTTCCGGCGCTCCACATCTCGGCTTCCCAGGGCTGTAGGTCCTTCCGCGTAAGCAATCCCCCTTTCTCGAGCCGAAAACCTGGCTTTGGGCCAGATGTAGTAGTTCTGGCCCAGACCCCCCTTCTCGAGCCGAAAACCCGGGCTTGGGCCGGATGGAGTGTAAATCAGCCTGTTCTGGCCCAAACCCCCTTTCTCGTGTCCCTCCTCAGCGACCCGCTTTCAGCACCCCCCATCCCGACCTTCCAGGGCCGCAGGTCCATCGGTCCACTTGGCCTCCTCAGGGCTCCTAGTCCATCTCGGCCTCCAGAACCGCAGGTCCATTCGTGTAGGCAAACAGCCCCCCTCATCTTGGCCTACCTGGGCTCTTAGACCTTCAGCGTAGGCTTGCAGCGCCCGATTTTGTCCTCCCCCATCAGCGTCACCAACCTGCACCACTCATCTCGGCCTCACAGGGCCCTAGGTGCGCGCAGCACCCCTCATCTTCCTCCCGACGCCCCAATTCTTCTGTGCAGACAATATACACCCCCCAACGTCTACGACCCCTTTGCTCCATCGGAGTATTGTCGTAGTTAGTACACCCAGCCTTCCGGGCCACTGTCCCTCTAGTCAAGGATGCTTGGCTGCATTAGTACCCGCCATCTCGAACCCTTCGTGGAGAGCGGCGATGACGGTTTCGGAGCTGCTCTGCGATATGGGGGGGGAAGATGGTGTAGGCCGCAGTAACATCTGTGGGCCATTTCACTCACTCACTCACTCACTCACTCACTCACTCACTCGTTAATGCACCAGGCCACCGAACATGCACTTGTGATGCCGATCGGCGTGGGTGCATCAACATACCTGTTTCCACATGTGCGGCCGATCAGGGATATGCTGATCAAGAAGAGTCGGACTCACAATCAAGATAAGAAGTTGGCGCGTAGTTGCAAGTCCGAGTTCACACCCGGACTTGCACTGCACATGCACGGCTTAGCCTCCTGCTGAGACTTGTTTTAAGAATGTATTTCCGGAGTCCAAGCTTAAAAATGGCAGGAAGTGGAGCCTGTAGAGAGTCCAAACTCAAACCTGGGTTCGCAACTTCACAAGGGTATCGGTGGCTTGTTCTTGGGGTTTGTAAGTCTTCCCAGTCGCGCAAAAGCAAAAAACATACATAGGAAAGAAGGCAAATATTGCCGCAGAAGTTAACTTGGTTGTCCTGTTCTAGCAGAGACCGTGCCGTTGGAATGTCGTGCATACCTGACGGCGGATACAAGTCACAACCGTTGCGATCTGCGATGTCAGGACCAAACATCACCAGACCATTCATCCATCAGGGAGCCGAGCGTTGTCTGTCGGAGTATTTGCTTCTTTGCCAAACGGAGCTCAGAAGAGAAGGCTAAGTGGATCTGCTATTGGCGTCATGTTGACTGACGTTGTCTCATTAAGCCTTGTCCATCATGTTTAAGTTTTTGCGAGTCCTCTTTTTCCTTAAGCTAGCAGCTAGCAACACATAAGAAAGGCTTGGGACTTGAAATAACAGACCATGAACGATCATTGTCTGTAGACTGAAATGCGCAGCCGTTGTGATGTGTGAGGCATGCCCCCGCGTGCTCATCTGCCCCCCACTGTGTGAGCCAATCGTCGTTTGTTGGTTTGTTTCCACACCTCTCTCACAAGCAGTGTTTTTGTTTTTTCGTATTTTGGCACCGCGCTCAGTAGTAGCAGTTGGCCGGAAGCTTTTGTCAACGTTGAACAGCAGAAACTTGGAAGATGTAAATTCTTGGTTGCGCCGCAACAATGACAAAGGACAAGCTCTACGACTTCCACTTCGTCTACGTCCAGTTCTTCCACTTCAAGCTCTTCCACATCATCCACCAGCACATCCAGCTCCTCCAGCACAACATCTTCCACATCCACATCGTCCAGCACAACCTCGTCGAGTTCGACATCCTCGACTTCAACGTCATCTACGTCCACATCCACCAGCAGCACCAGCAGCAGCACGACATCAACTTCCAGCACGACAAGCAGCAGCACAACGACTTCCACTTCGTCTACGTCCAGTTCTTCCACTTCAAGCTCTTCCACATCATCCTCCAGCACATCCAGCTCCTCCAGCACAACATCTTCTACATCCACATCGTCCAGCACAACCTCGTCGAGTTCGACATCCTCGACTTCAACATCATCTACGTCCACATCCACAAGCAGCACCAGCAGCAGCACAACATCAACTTCCAGCACGACGAGCAGCAGCACGTCCACATCCTCGAGCAGCACAACGAGCTCTTCGACTTCCACTTCGTCTACATCCAGTTCTTCCACCTCAACATCTTCCACATCATCCACCAGCACATCCAGTTCCTCCAGCACAACATCTTCTACATCCACATCGTCCAGCACAACCTCGTCGAGTTCGACATCCTCGACCTCAACATCATCTACGTCTACGTCCACAAGCAGCACCAGCAGCAGCACGACATCAACTTCCAGCACGACAAGCAGCAGTACGTCCACATCCTCGAGCAGCACAACGAGCTCTTCGACTTCCACTTCGTCTACATCCAGTTCTTCCACCTCAACATCTTCCACATCATCCACCAGCACATCCAGCTCCTCCAGCACAACATCTTCTACATCCACATCGTCCAGCACAACCTCGTCGAGTTCGACATCCTCGACTTCAACATCATCTACGTCCACATCCACCAGCAGCACCAGCAGCAGCACAACATCAACTTCCAGCACGACAAGCAGCAGTACGTCCACATCCTCGAGCAGCACAACGAGCTCTTCGACTTCCACTTCGTCCACGTCCAGTTCTTCCACCTCAACCTCTTCCACATCATCCACCAGCACATCCAGCTCCTCCAGCACAACATCTTCTACATCCACATCGTCCAGCACAACCTCGTCGAGTTCGACATCCTCGACTTCAACATCATCTACGTCCACATCCACAAGCAGCACCAGCAGCAGCACAACATCAACTTCCAGCACGACAAGCAGTAGCACGTCCACATCCTCGAGCAGCACAACGAGCTCTTCGACTTCCACTTCGTCTACATCCAGTTCTTCCACCTCAACCTCTTCCACATCATCCACCAGCACATCCAGCTCCTCCAGCACAACATCTTCTACATCCACATCGTCCAGCACAACCTCGTCGAGTTCGACATCCTCGACCTCAACATCATCTACGTCCACATCCACAAGCAGCACCAGCAGCAGCACAACATCAACTTCCAGCACGACAAGCAGCAGCACGTCCACATCCTCGAGCAGCACAACGAGCTCTTCGACTTCCACTTCGTCTACATCCAGTTCTTCCACCTCAACATCTTCCACATCATCCACCAGCACATCCAGCTCCTCCAGCACAACATCTTCTACATCCACATCGTCCAGCACAACCTCGTCGAGTTCGACATCCTCGACTTCAACATCATCTACGTCCACGTCCACAAGCAGCACCAGCAGCAGCACGACATCAACTTCCAGCACGACGAGCAGCAGTACTTCCACATCCTCCAGCAGCACGACAAGCTCTACGACTTCCACTTCGTCTACATCCAGTTCTTCCACTTCAAGCTCTTCCACATCATCCACCAGCACATCCAGCTCCTCCAGCACAACATCTTCCACATCCACATCGTCCAGCACAACCTCGTCGAGTTCGACATCCTCGACTTCAACGTCATCTACGTCCACATCCACAAGCAGCACCAGCAGCAGCACAACATCAACTTCCAGCACGACAAGCAGCAGCACGTCCACATCCTCGAGCAGCACAACGAGCTCTTCGACTTCCACTTCGTCTACATCCAGTTCTTCCACCTCAACATCTTCCACATCATCCACGAGCACATCCAGCTCCTCCAGCACAACATCTTCTACATCCACATCGTCCAGCACAACCTCGTCGAGTTCGACATCCTCGACGTCAACATCATCTACGTCCACGTCCACAAGCAGCACCAGCAGCAGCACGACATCAACTTCCAGCACGACGAGCAGCAGTACGTCCACATCCTCGAGCAGCACAACGAGCTCTACGACTTCCACTTCGTCCACGTCCAGTTCCTCCACTTCATCTTCAACAACGACGACCTCTTCCAGCACAACCTCAACCAGCAGCTCCACCACTTCTTCAACCAGCTCGTCGTCGACGAGTAGCACCAGCACAACATCTAGCACCACCTCTTCCAGCTCTACAACCTCGACGACGACATCATCAACTTCCACCTCAAGCAGTAGCACAACCACGTCCTCCAGCTCGACCACCTCGACGACTACATCGTCTTCCTCCACGTCCAGTTCTTCTACAAGCACTTCTTCAACGTCCTCCTCCTCGACCTCGACAAGCACGACCACATCTTCGTCGAGTAGCAGCTCCACGTCCTCCAGCACTACGTCCTCCACATCGACGTCCTCGACGTCCACCAGTAGCACCAGCAGCTCATCGAGCACGACATCCTCCACATCAACGTCGTCCAGCACAACTTCGTCAACTTCCACATCTTCAAGCTCTTCTACGAGCAGTACCACTTCGACCTCAACCACCTCAAGCAGCAGTTCCTCCACATCCTCAAGCAGCACGTCATCAACGTCAACATCCACGAGCAGTATCTCTCCCAATGTTGGAGAGCTGTCTTTGGTTCTTGTTATTGCAGAAGCTGACCGGGTGTCGGTGGTTCTGGGTCTGACATGCGTACTTCGAAATGATGAGTTAGAGGGTTGTTTGCGATCTTAAGTTTAGCTCCTGTCTTGAAAAGCCCGACTGTAAGCCTTGAAACCAGTTTTTCGAACTTCCGTTAAAAAGGCGGTCTCGCCAGATGTGCCGATTGTTTGCGTGGAAGAGGTTACAGTGAACGCCAGAACCTCGGAAACCTGTTAAAGGACGAATCGCGCTGGCAGGCCGAGTTTGAGTCTTTTCCTTCCCCGCGCCGCGTAGCCTTTCATTCTAAGGCCACTTGGGGCCACTCGCTACGCAAAGCAGCCAAGGGTAGGGTCCCCCCCCACAGGTGTTCCTAAGGCATCCGGAGCTTTCATGACTGCTCCTGCTGCCAATGGAGGGCACGAGAGCCCTCGTGAAGCCAACATGAGCGCGACCGAAGGCCCATCAAGTACATGAAGCCTTGCATGGATGTCCAGCTTCCTGTAAACGACGGAAACTTGCTCATGCGCAAGTCTGCAATCAGGGCATCGCAACGAATAAGGGGGTGATCACATCCCCACTGGTTGCGACATGGCTTTGCGGTGGCACTGCTACGAATAGTCTCAGGAATCAGGAAGTGGCTGGCAGAAATTCAAGTATAAGCAGAAACTGAGCCCCAAGGCTCAAGGGGAGAGATGTCTTCAACGAGTCCTGTCCATCCCAGGTTTATCAGCATGAAGTGTGATTCAACATGTGATATTTTAGGTATGCCGTCAACGACACAGGTACCTCGAGCAGTTCCACTTCATCTTCATCCACGTCCTCGACCAGCACAACATCTTCAACGTCAACGTCGACATCTTCGAGCTCCACGTCATCGAGCACATCGACCACAAGCAGCACGACTTCATCCACCACCACGACGTCAACTTCTTCATCAACTTCTTCGTCCAGTAGCACGACGACGTCGTCCACGACCACGTCTACATCGACGACATCTAGCACATCAAGTACATCGACATCCAGCTCGACTTCAACAAGTAGTTCTTCCAGCACGTCTACGACAACAAGCAGCAGCACTACGTCCTCGACGTCCAGCAGCACGTCGTCTACCACATCTTCTTCAACCTCCTCCACCTCATCCACCACCAGCACCAGCTCATCCACGTCGAGCAGTTCAACCTCCACATCATCCAGCTCAAGTTCTTCCACGTCCAGTTCATCCACAAGTACCACATCAAGCACTACCAGCACCAGCACTTCGACGTCATCAAGCAGTACCTCCACCACCTCATCGAGCACATCGACGTCGACCTCTACGTCATCAAGCAGCACCTCCAGCAGCACCACGTCCACTTCTAGCTCGACAAGCAGTAGCACCTCGTCGTCATCTAGCAGCACCACGACGTCCACCACATCAACCTCCTCCACCTCAACCTCTTCCTCGTCGACATCTTCCACATCGACTACTTCTACGTCAACTTCTTCCTCATCCACTTCATCGACATCGACCTCTTCCACGTCATCATCGACCACATCGACTTCATCAAGCACTACGTCTTCAACATCAACATCAACAAGCAGCACGTCTTCTACATCAACCTCCACGAGCAGTACCAGCAGCAGTACTACATCGACTTCCAGCAGCTCCACCAGCAGCACCACGACATCATCGAGCAGCTCCACGACATCTAGCACGTCTACCTCCAGCACCACAAGCTCCTCTACCTCGACCTCATCCACCTCGACGTCCACAACATCGACTTCCAGCAGCTCCACCAGCAGCACCACGACATCATCGAGCAGCTCCACGACATCTAGCACGTCTACCTCCAGCACCACAAGCTCCTCTACCTCGACCTCATCCACCTCGACGTCCACAACATCGACTTCCAGCAGCTCAACCAGCAGCACCACGACATCATCGAGCAGCTCCACGACATCTAGCACGTCTACCTCCAGCACCACAAGCTCCTCTACCTCGACCTCATCCACCTCGACATCCACAACATCTACTTCAAGTAGCTCGACCTCGACGACAAGCACCAGCTCCACATCATCAACCAGCACATCAAGTTCCACCTCTTCCACGTCCACCTCGTCAACCAGTTCCACATCCACGAGCACCACTTCCACCAGCACCAGTTCCACCAGCACCACTTCCACCAGTAGCTCGTCCAGCACCACGTCCTCAACATCGACTTCATCAAGCACTACGTCTTCAACATCAACATCAACAAGCAGCACGTCTTCTACATCGACCTCCACGAGCAGTACCAGCAGCAGTACTACATCGACTTCCAGCAGCTCCACCAGCAGCACCACGACATCATCGAGCAGCTCCACGACATCTAGCACGTCTACCTCCAGCACCACAAGCTCCTCTACCTCGACCTCATCCACCTCGACGTCCACAACATCGACTTCAAGCAGCTCGACCTCGACGACAAGCACTAGCTCCACATCATCAACCAGCACATCCAGTTCCACCTCTTCCACGTCCACTTCGTCAACCAGTTCCACCACCACGAGCACCACTTCCACCAGCAGTTCGTCCAGCACAACGTCCTCAAGCAGCTCATCGTCTACCAGCTCCACGTCAAGCACAAGCACTTCGACCAGTACCACGACCTCATCATCAAGCAGCACTTCCACCTCTTCGACATCCTCCACCTCCACAACATCCACTTCAACCTCCACAACTTCGACGAGCACTTCGTCAACAAGCAGTACGTCGACTTCGTCAACGTCGACGACAAGCTCGACCACAACATCCAGCTCCTCGTCCAGCTCCTCTTCGTCATCTAGCTCGACGACATCAACCTCCACGTCGACTTCGACCAGCACATCCTCAACCAGCAGCACCAGCACGACTTCCACAACGAGCACGTCAACTTCATCCACGACTTCTTCCTCTAGCACTACATCAACGTCGACCACCTCCACCAGTTCGTCTAGCACATCAACCTCCAGCTCATCAACAACATCCACTTCCACTACTTCAACATCCAGCACGAGCACCAGCAGCAGTTCAACTACCACATCTTCAAGTAGCACATCGACGACCAGCACGTCCGTGTCCAGCACATCCAGCACGTCCACGAGCAGCACTTCAAGCTCAAGCTCGAGCACTTCAACAACAAGCACTTCGACCACGGCTACTTCCACGAGCGCCTCGACGAGGGCAGGAGAGCGTAGCCGGAAACCGGTCGTTCAATTGCCTCACTTGCCCCACTTGGTTTGCCCCACCTGCCCCGCATCACTTGCTCACTCCCACGCGCCCCCCTCCCTTCCCGCCTTCCCGTATTGACGAACAATTCCACATTGTAGGCTTCGTGACTTCGGTCGTTGCAAGGGCAAGTCGACCCCCCACCCCCCTCCCCCACCTGCCCCCTCCCCCCCTTTGACGTCACAGTGGAGGCGCGTGATCCGGACTTGCAGTTGTGGCAAGATGTTAAGAACAGTCAGCGGTCCAGAGGGTCAAGAGGGGCAAGTGAGGCCAAATCAAGTAACGGATCAATGGTCCCCTCTAGGCTTTTGGGCTATCGCCGCTATCGCCCATGCTTGCAGGGTGGCATTGCGTGCATCTCCTTGGCTGCTTTGCTGAGGCACCACATCGACAACAGCGACGCAATCATCAACCACAAGCACTAGCGTGACAAGCACCTCAAGCACTGCCACGAAGCTTGGCATCACAAGCTGCATTGCTGAGGGAGACTGAGCAACGGCTCTCCAAAGGGTTCGGGCGACACCGCTGACACCGCAGCTTTCGCAAACTTGTGTCGGGTAGCTGTCCGAACCTGTTCTTTTGTGTCGCTAAGGACATACACGACGACAAGCTCGACAGCATCTAAGCCAGAATTAGCACCAATTGCACTCTGCCTTGGTACCAGCTGGTTAGTTCCTGGCATTTGTTCTGTTCGGGCACGTCGTGGCTGTGACAGCCGCGACAAGTGCAAGGCCACGCCGTCCTTGCCACGCACGGACTTTAATGTCCCATGGTCACTCGAGCAGGCTGGGTTCGAAATCTGTATGGAATGTAGTGAATGTAGTTAGCTAACGCTGTGAAAGAATCCGCCTTGCGGCCAGGCGGTGTCGACACAGACTGGCTACTTGATGGGCCCGGCCACAGCGACAGTTTCCGGCATAGAAGGCCGCTTGGCGTGCAGTTGTAGCACCACATGCATTGCCACAATAGTACTTGTAGTCCTCGCTTGCCTTCACGTGCAGATGCCAAAGGCTGTAGCCCACCGGAGTCCTGCGGCTGGACCTTGGCATTGGTGGCCGCTGAGCTCATTGAGCTCCAGTCATAAGTTCTCAAACAGTTCTCAAACTCTGGGCGCTGTCAGACCCACTCTGGTGGGCTGCCGCAGTGGAGATTTGAAGTGCAAGGCGAAAACTGTGTGTGACGGGTTCGCTTAAGGCTCAGGCCAAGGGATTTCGTCGCGGAATCTCTCACAAATACGCCATTACATGCCATTGCCCAATGGTCCCAATGATCACATGCGACCTTAAGGTAAGAATTTCTCCGAGCATGAGACAAGCCTTGCAAGTGGCAAAAGAAGTCAGCACCTTCAAGCTGGCAATGCCATGGAAGCTGTGCCCTCACTCCGCTTAAGGGTCCGAGGTTTTTAACAGCAAGAAGCACCCTGTACACTCAGGGAAATCAAAGACGTCGACCCTTTGGACTGCCCAATTGTCCTCGCGCGCAAGCCCAAAACATGGAAGCACTCTCTCGCCCAAGAAGGCTCTGGAAGGAATTCGCAGATCACAAGACAACGCTGCTTTCGGTCATTTTTGCCAGGCGCTCACTGGTATCTTACCCTGGAAGGTACAAACAACAGAGACAAAGGCAGGAGCTGCATCTCGGACACCATGACATGCAGATCCTAACATCATCTAGAATCTGATGCGCGAAGCGCACCGGAAATGTGCCCTAGGTGAGCGTGAGTTGTCATGTCGAGCGCAGCCAAAGCCTGTTAGGTGAAAACTGTGACCCCTGACATGTGTTACTCAAGCCCAGACCCCGATCCACACCTTAACCAAAGAGCTCTCATGTCCGAACGCCTGCCTCCGAAAGACACTGCTTTGGCATTTGAGATGAGCTTGAAGCGTGGATTGGCTTAACCTCTGAGGAAGCTCGAATCCCGTCGCGCATCGTCGCCTTTTTGGAGACGGAGCTCCTGCCAGATGGTGGCCGGCTGACTTTGAGCACAAGCGATTTCCGTGGGCAAGACCTTGTGAAGGGTGCCTTAGCTGCGCAATGCTTATGAACTCACATTGACATAGTACTCATAGTACTGTGCGTGGGAGCACAAGGGATTGAAACAAAACCCTTAATCTAGCTGTTAAATGCTGATGATATGGTGCTCGGCGCTCATCGCTGTGGTTTTGCGGACCATTCGTGTCGTTGATCGCAAAGGCCAACGATATGAATATGCCCTTATACAGACGAGCGACCCAGCAACTCAGCTGCGAGTGAGCTGAAAGAAAGGTGGACTCTGCGCGGGGTCGCCGCACTCGAAAATCAAAGGTGAAATCACGGGCGAAAGGTTGAAACATCACGCTTGGCGTGACTTAAGGATGCTTTGGCAGCTCTCAAGCTGGCAGCGCCTGCAGATATTGATGTAGCGGAGAGCCTGGGTGCGAAAGTTGCAAAGTCTGATCTGCTCCTCGGCTCTCGGAGGGATTCTTCATGTCTTCAATGGGGGCGGTTCCATGCGGTTCCTACTGCGTGTGATGTTTCCGTGCCATGGGTGCTGCGAAAGCGTACTCTCAGTGGGGGGGGGGGGGGGCAGGACATCCCACCGCTCTGGGTGATTGTCTGTTGCTGTGTTGTTTTTGTTCTTCTCGTGATGAGTGCTTGCCCTACGAGGTTTGTTGCCGATGCGCCACCAATGGACGGCATCGTGACCATGACGCCGCAGTCTGGCCTCGCCGTCACCACTGCATTTTCAGGAACAACAAGTTGGGTGGATGAGGCGTTGGAGCAGAACACATTCGCCTTCTACATATTCCCGTCCGAGCAGCAGCTAAGCAGCATGCTACACCGCCCTCTCAAACACATTGGTTGGGCGTGGGCAGTTCTGTCGGCCGCGTTCAAACATGTCCTGTTTTAAGCAAATTAAACTTTTCAGGAGTGCAGTTTGTTTTATCCAGCAAATATAGCCGACAGTTTGGCATGGCACGCCAGCACACCGAGGAATGACACAATCTTCTCTGATGGTTCTGGAGGCAATGTTTCGCCGAGTCGATGTGTCCATGCCGCGGCCCTTCTTGGAGAGCGTTGACTTAGCAGATGTTTCCGTGACTCGCATGGGCCTGGGGCGCCATGTGCGCGTAAATTAGAAGGATGTGTGAGCAATCAATCGGTTAACTTAACTTGTATGCTTGATTTCGCAACGTCGCTTTGTGGTTTTAAGGAGCGAAGCTAGTTCGCAGAACAGTGGAAGCCTGTAAGCCATTCTGGGTTTTGACTTGAGTTCAACTTTCCTCAACTGTCAGTGATAGACACGTTCGAATGTGCGAAAGTTGTGCAGGCATCACAGTCAATGGAACATTCGCACATCCATCAGTGGAATCTCAGATGCAAATCAGACTAGCACCCATGTCCGACAGCAGAAAGTGGAAGGGTCCTTCTTGTGCGCAGCCAGGATTTCACGGACACTTCCAGCCCAAACTATTGGACCAAGCTGGGCGGAACTTTCTTGAGGAACGTGTCGGCGAACGCTAGCCGATGGGAAGTTTCTGCTGCTTGACGAAATCTATCGAAATCTTGTGTGAGAACATCTAAGTGTGGGCAGCCATGCTCTTGGCGCGCAGGTGGCCGCAGGTACTTACTTCACTGCAGCCGTTGCCAGAGACCCTTTAGGATTGAGCAGAGGGGCTTGTAGAAGCATGCAGCATGCAAAGGCTCAAGCTCACAGGGCTTTCTCCGCAGAGCCCCATGCTGCTCCGTCGTTGCAGTCGCAGGAGCAATCGCGGTCGCCTATGCGCCTGGCCCGGTGGTGGAAGTTCCGGCAGGTGCGGAGATGTGCTCAGACACAGCAAATGGTAGAGCAAATCATACGACAGGTGGCCTCAGTGCGGAAGAAGCAAGTGCGGCGCTAGATGCGGCAATGGAAAGTGCAGATCCGGCAGTGATCTTGGGCATGCTGGACTCTCTGAACTCAGTTCCAGTGGTTGCTTGGATTCCGACTTAGACTTGGAGGGTGATGGCGCTAAAGGATGTGTAAGCGATGTGGAAGCGATGTGTAAGAAGCGCCCCAGGATGCTCGCAGGGAGTGCTGCTAAGGCATCCAATGACACAGCCGGTCAGGCAGCAGCCACCGCAAAGAAGTTCGAGGCGACAGTCCGACACACAAGAGGGTGACGTTAGTAAAACTTGTGAAGAACTTTTGTGAACAATGACGGAAGATGACGGAGTCGACTAGCGCAGAGAAATACCTCTTGCCGCGCTGCGTCGCAACCACATATCATTTTTGTTGTGTTTAAACACGCAGAGGCGCTGAAAGCCGCATCTGACGTTGTGGAGACAGACGCAGGAAGCAGGGGCCTCGGAAGCAGCTCCAAAGACTCAGAGGCCTCTCTGGCTGAGGCACTGTCAGGCAGCTGTCTCGAGTCCTTACTGACATTCCCAAAACTGCCCCTCGAATCCAGTATGAACGAGCATGCGAGGCCTGCAGAAGTTTGGCAGCGTGGTGACCGAAGTCCTAAAGGCGGCGGCGACCAATGGCAGTGCGACTGCGGATGCTTCATCAGCTGATCAAGCGTCAGATGCTCTTACCAACGTGCTGGAAGCAACTCGAGCAAAAGAAAGGTTTGTTTGGTAGCGCTTGAAAGCGAAGCGGAATCTACATGCCCGGAATCTGTGCGCGCGAGAACCGAGGCAGCACTGGGTTCGGCAGGCCTTTCCATCAGAAGAGTGGTAGCTTGCTTTTTTCTTTGTATGGCTTTTGTTTTGCTAGTGCTCGGACCTGAATGGGAGGTGTGGACGTGGCTGCCGGCAACGCGTTGCTGAGCTCTATATCCGCTGTTGGGGACAGCTACGCTGCTGTGCAGACAGGGCAAGCAGAAGCTGCGGCGGCCAGCCGCGCTGCAAAGCTTGAAGTCATGGCTCCTTGTCCTTGCAACATCTCAATTTTCCTTGCCTCCAACTTGACACCGGACAAGTCTTTCAAGAAAATTTGCCGTCTACGCTGAGACCTCGCAACTCGGTAGCGCGGCCCTGGCGACGACACCGGTGGGCGGCTCAACTACGCTGAGCTCCGTGGACGACACGGGCAAGGGCTTGGCAACTTGGATGAGTTTAAGAGTTTGGCTGCAAGATGTCGCGAGCGTGTGCAAACCTTGCCGAAGCGTGACCCTTTGAAGGAAATAAACGTTCAGAAGGAGGACATCGGCACGGCTTTGAATAACGGAATTACTGGCAATGGCTTGCAGGTCCAGGGGATTTGGGCATCATGTAGGCTATTGGAAGCAGAACCTGCAAGCAAAAGCCCTGAGTCCCTGCCAGATACCTGGTGCCTCTTTGGGCTCCCTTGCTGGACGACGTCTCCAAAGTAGCGGATGCAGTACGCTGGCGGTCCAGCAGACTGACTGGGTGCAAAGTGCCATGCTTGCAGAGAAGCATTTGGCACCCCAAGCATTGTGGAACCCAAGCCCGTTCGATTTAAAGCGATGTGTGCCGTTTCTGAGGCAACCCATTCGGGTATTTGAATTCCAGCCGCCTGGCTGCAAGGTTGCTGCTGAGCTGTCGCAATTTTTGCACAGCATGTCAGCTCGAATGATATCAGCAGCTCGGCTTCAGGCATCGGTATCAATCGCTACGTTCCAACGGCTGCAACGGTCAAAGTGTTGGAGCTCAAGCAATGCGATACCCTCGTGACGGTGCCAAATCTGGCTGAACCCATCGCCATGACTTTAGCCTTGAAACTCGGCTGGCAGAGAAGCAAAATGCATGCGATGCGAATCTGTCGAAATCTTGCTTGAGCCTCCCTGAGCCTTCCATGCACTGGAGGCCTGCACTTCCAGAGCTGGCGCCGGAGGGCTATGTATTCGAGCCAGTTTGTGTGCAGCTGGATCCGCTGGGCCAGGCAGGGGTGTCGACCGACATTGGTCTTTTCTTGACACATTCGTGACATTCATGATGTGCGCCTCGAGGCGATGCATAGAGAGCAAGGATGGTCCACAAGTGTCACGTCCTGGTTCCTCCCTACCAGCTACACAGCTACCACAGTTGATTGCGTTGCCACAACATTGGGCGGTGCATATGCTGGCATCTACTTGCCTGTGCCACTGGCAACGACGACCTCAAGCTCGACGCGTACGGCCTCTGTCACCTCATCCATGACTTCGACCACCACCACAACAACCTTTGTGGCTTCAGATGTGGGGATGATGGTCGGAACCTCGGTCGCTTCCATCGCCTTCGTCATCGTCGTTGGCCTATGTGTTTGGCAGGCACATGCAGGAAACGTGAACCTGAAGGTGAATATCGATGCAAAGGCCTCCTGCAAATGGATGACCGAGTCTGTCAAGACAGCCAAATTGGGGGTGCGGGCCTTTGAGCCACGCAGAGAGCCCAGACCGGCATGGGAAGGTGAGCCGTCTCCGCAAGTTGAGGAGGTGAAGCCTGGTCCTCACACCCAGCGTGATGCTCAAGAGCACTTCTGGGATTGGGCACGGGATGTGGCCCAGTCTGCTTCTCAGCCGGAGTTGCCTCGCGGTACCTCCTTTGGATTCGGCCAGTCTGTGGCAAGTACTCCTCCAAGCATGCCGAGGCCACATATCCCAGTAGCCAGACAACCTGACGATAAGGAGGAGTACTTTCAAAGCTTTGCTCAGGAACTCAATGACATTATTGGGTCCGGCATGCCAAACATGATCGCCGACACACCTGCCATGCCCAAGACACCACCCCCGCCACCTCCAAAGCGCAATGCGATCCCGGACATCGCTCCGCCGACGACAGCGTGGTCCCAAAGGCTCAGTCAGAGGTCAATTACCACAGAAGCGACACCTTCGCTGCCGCCGCCGCCACCTGTGCTAGAAAATGCTGAGCGCATTGACGTGCGGGTGGACCAAGCCTTTTCTGATTGGGCCAACGACTTCGCACTCTGCATGCCTCCAAGCCCAACACAGGCCAAAGGCATACCTCCGCCTCCCCCACCCCGCCGTGCACCGGCACAGAGCACCCTGCCTTTGCCCCCACCAAGACCTCCGAGCATAGCCAGCGGGAGCAGTGGCAGACTAAGTCAACAGCCCTTACCCACCTTGCCCCCATCCTCATCTGCCCGTGAGTTCGATCCACATGAGTGGAACCAACTCTCCCATCGTCCAAGCTTTGCGCTCGTTCAAGCAGTGCCTTGGCTCATCTTAAGAAAGGCAAGTCTAGAGTTTTCTTAGGTATCCGCTTGCGTGGCACTCTGTTGTTCGTGCCGCAAATTGTGCCTGGACCGAGGCTCCCAAGTCGATGAGCCCGCCACAACCCCCACCACCGCCAAGGCCGCCAAGAACTGATGGAGACCAGCCAAGGCAGCCCGTCGTGCCACCCGCACCGGCTGAGCATCGGATCCCCTTGGCACCACCACCGCTTTCAGGCGTACCGACGCAGGCACCCCTGCCACCTCCCCGGCCGAACGGTGTCCTGGACAAGCCAGTGACTCCACCAGTGATGACACGCGGCGACCGTCCAGGCGTGCCGCTCGTCCCACCATCGGTGAGCACACTGAGGCCGGGATCCCAGCAGCTTGGCAGCACAAGGTCTGCTTAGTCTTGCTAGGTCTTGCCGGGTCTTGCTGTTCGCCCTCGAGTCGCCTGTAAGTCTCTGCCAGACTTGTCAGTCCGAGGTTGGCGATGCCACTCCCCAAGCAACAGCCGCTCCAACCTCCAGGAGTGCCTGAAGGCGTAGCGGGGGTGGGCTCAAGGCTAGCCGGGCCTTGATTTTTCCTTCGGCCCTAAGCAGTCCTTGGGGGCTCTTGGGGATAGAGGTGGCTCTTTAGGTGCCAAAGTTCATTTAGGAAGATTGAGGCCTCTTCAATGTTCGCTCGCATGCGATACGCACGTCCCGAGAATGTCACGGGAAAACCCTCAAACATCCTCAGCCCTCAAAAACTGAAACTCACGGGTTTGCTGGGGCTTTCGGCCTGGGTTTCTCTCTGGCCGATAGAGTGCCTTGGGGGCGTAGAGATGGTCCGGGTTGCGGGTCCAAAATATAAGGTGGGTGAAGAGGGGCCTGTAGGGATCCCTGTCCTTGCATTTGTACAACACAGCTTTTGTCTATTGCGCACTCTCCAAGCAAAAAGTCCGCTCTGCAAAAGCCTCCAGACTGAATCAGGCGAGGGGAGGTTTACGCAGGGGGTTACGGTGGGGAAATGGGTCTCCACGGGAACGGCCGAGGCCGAAGCGAAAGACCAAAACGTGCCCATATGTGCCCTGCTCTCTCAGGTGCAGAGTATGACGTCATTGATGGGCCAGACGGGAGAAGCTTCTCCAGCTGCAATTGACCACCGGGTGACCTGTTGACTCCGCAATGTCGTGTTTACCGCACACTTCCTGCATCATAAGGCTCACCGCATAGATGCTTGGATGCATGAGAGCAGGCTTTGATTAGACATTGGGCGATGAGTTACCGGGGACCTGACTGCATGCTGCTATGCTATGCCTGCTATGCATGCTGCTATGCATGCTGTGCTGTTTGGTGCCCTAAGAGCTCGCCGTGGTAAAGGTGAGGAGAGCGCCCCAACTCCTCGATGAGCTCCTGCCTGGCACACGTCAGATGCAGCGACTTGCCTGGCGTTTCGTTTTCTTGGTGCCCTCTTTGGTTTGTAAGGTCCTTAAGAATGCTTGAAACGTCTTCAGGGATCAATCGGCCCATTGTGCCCTCAAGGTGCCTTAGATACGGGAGACTTCACAAAGCCGACGTATCCTTTGGCACTATGTCCCGAAATGAGAACTGGTCAAGTACCCCGAGGCTTAAACCAAGTATCCCTCCCTTTCCAAGTAGTGTGGCTGAGGTGTAGCTCGGCCTGAGGAGCAATTCGACCTCAACGGCTTTGCATTCAAAAAGGGGAGCACGCTGCATATTTCGATATGTTTCGATCCGGTTGTCAATTGATGCAGGGCTTGCATGTGAGGGTTCAAGGATGTTCGAGGAGTTTAGAGATTTCGTCGGTAAGTTAGATCGGCACCGAGACCATGGGGATGCAGGGCTCGCGGGGGAACAGTCCAACGTCACAAACGAGGGTCGGCAGCTGCACTTCATCGCGTCTTTGTTCTTGCTGTCTGGGGTTGGCCCTTGTTGGCTAGCCAGCAGTCCTGTTTTTCTTGACGTCTGCAAAATATCACCAGTAGCCAAGAGCTGCATTGGCCCATCAGTGGGGACATCAAACAACTGGCACACCGATCGTGTGTATTGTGTCTCGGCTACACGGTAGATCGCCGAAGAGTAAGGCAAACATTTAGAAAACTGCTGCTCGGACCTGGAAGACAGGAGTCCTCGGACAAAATTAGAAACAACGCTTCTAGTCCGGCCTCTAAGATGACAGCATGCAATCGAGAGTGAAGAAGTTTGCTGTCTAGTACAGGGGAGCCTTCACCGGAGCACAGTTTTCCCAGCCCTAGCGAGAGGTATCAAGCATGTGAAGCATACACATCACACGAATGCCGCATATGCATATGTTATGGAAGCATGGCTTACGTCCATAGTTTGCATTCTCCTAACCGTAAGTACGTGAATGCCAGCTGTCTTGTGCCGAGTGTGTGACAGCACCATGATTTCACCGGAGAGATTTCTTGGGCCCAACTTGAAACCATGAATTCACCCGAGAAAAATTTTCGGGCCCAACTTGAAAGCAGTTGGGCCTTCCGGGCCCAACTTGAAAGCATGATTTCGCCGGAGGGGCCTCGACTCGAAAAGCCATAACTCAAGCTAACGTCAAGTTTCTTTGTCGGGTCCAAGACGTCTGCTCAAGAATCTTCGATCCGTAAGTCTGAATCCGGCAAAAGGCAGTAGCTGGCAATAGCGAGCTGAAAAACAAAAACAAAGTAAAGGCACAACCTGCACTACATGTAAGCATTTTTGTGTGATTCCAAGAAAGGCGCCAGATGCAGATCTGCAGAGAATCAGTTGTGAAATGATGTGAATCAGGAGGGCACGCAGCATTGGCGCTGAACAGTCGCTGGTTTTGGCCCATTTGGCTCTCGCGGTTTGTTCAACGGTTGGGCAGCAATCGTAGCATCACGGGCATTCGCCAGCCTTGTTGCCTCCATGCTTGCTTGGTGGTCGTAGACTCAGTTGACACTCGAAGTTTCCACGCAGAAATGGGTTTAGAGTCTGTTGGCCAAGGTGCCGATGAGTGGCGGGGTCGCTGGCCTCGCCAGGAAATGGACCGCAGCCTTTCTGTGGTGTCTTCTAAGGACGCGAAGCGGCGAAGCGCAATGAAGCAATCAAGCTGCAGTGTCCGAGTGTTTCAAGTGTTTCACTTGGTTGCGCCTCGACTGTTAGGAGTTTGGAGGCCGATGCCGTGGCTCTAGAGTCTGCAGAGCTGGCTCGTGGGTTTACGACCCTTTTGCTTCGACTCACTGAACCTGTCACTCGGACGCCTTTGGGGGAGACTCTCCCCAGTTGTTACCCATAACATGATGTGACCGATCCTGGCATGGTGTGCCATGCGGACGTTGACAGTTCTGGTTCATGCGTTCATGCTGTCTTGCAAGGTAAATGTGACCACTTTCTCCGGATGCGAGTCCGTGCTGTCTGGAGCATCTTTACAGAGGATTCTTGCATGCTTCCGTCATGAGCTGTAAAGCCAAATCCGTCCTACAGTGCGGCTTTTCTCTGCTTACGCTACTTGAAGGATGGGCACCTCGCCACAATGCCAGTGGCTCTTGGGCGGCATGGCGTTGCAGGTGCAGCGCAGTGGGTGATGAGATGCCGTGGCGTCACTGTGTCATGGTGGTGTCATGGTGAGCTCTTTTCAGTCTTTTCAGGTGCTGCTAGGGCATCAGCCCGTGCTGGAGCCTGGTGATGTCGTAGAGCTGCTGCCGTCTGTGGGACCCGTGCCTTGTACTGCTTGGACGGTCTTGGACGGGTTGTTGGCCCTTGCGGATGTTGGGGATCTGGGGGGTTCCGAGCCCAGGCGCTGCAGACAACGGTCAACTCATCTGAACTCCCGCAAGCCATGGCAGCTCTCCAGCTGCTGCCTCCACAGGAGCGGTGGATGTAGTGACTATGTGGTGATGCAAAGCACGCCCATTTCTTGACTCCACTGCCTCTGTGGTAGGGCATTGTAGGGTCTTCCTGGGGTTAGCGTGAGGCTTCACACTTGCATACACTTGACAAACTTGACAGGTGCAGCGCTGTGGACTTGTGGATGTAGTGGTGGATGCCTCCCTCTCGAGCGGTGGCGCTGGGCGCCTGCTGGCTGCCGAGTGGCGAACTGGAGGAAGCAGCCAGCTTCAAGCTGGGCAGGTGATCCAGGACAGGGCGCGCAGTCGGCAGCGATCCAAATCTTACGCATAGAAGGGGGCTGTCGGCGCATGCTGCGCGACAATGATTCTCTGTAAGCTTTCTGAAGCCAGTCTTTCCTTCACCTGCACAGGTTGCATTCTTTGGGCTGTGGGGACACAGTGTTATGTTGTGGCGATGCTTCCTGCGTTTGCCAGGAGTTCCTGGCATTGCAGAACGGCTCCTTAAGTTTTACTTTGCCAGCTGCCACCATTTCCGGTGCTGTTGATGCCGCCCTTGCAGCAGACACTTCGTTGATGCTGGTCCGCATCGAGCTTGTTCTCAGCACCTCGAACTGGCTCGGTCTCACGAACGAGACTTCCGCTCCTGGGTGTGGTCTGAAGATGTCTGTAATGCCTGTGTCAGAGCAGCTTTAGTGAAATTCTTGAAATTGAAATCTCCCTTGGCACATGCCAGACACATGCCTTTGCTGAGGCTGTGCTGGAGGTTGACCTGTCAGATGCGCACCTCCCGGTTCTGGAGCCTTCGCTGAGCCAGTCCATCCGCACCAACCAGTCAGTCAGCTTTCGCGCCGCGACGAGGCCGGGAAGCTCAAGCCACTACAGTACATTCCTTCTACTCTGGGGAACCCTTTGCGGGTAGATCAACCCACTCGTCGTTTCAGTTTATAGGCTAATTTAACGGACCAACAGCAACGTTTGAGTCCGATTGAGTCCTTCTTAGCCAGAGTTAGGCATTTTGAGCAGATCTTCAGAAGTGTCTGAGCCCCGTAGCCAACTAAGCCCCAGCCAATGGGCAGTTTGAGCAAAGCTTTGGCGCGTAAATCTGAACTGCGTGCTTCGGCTGGGCGATCTACGGAGTACTACGGAGCGAAGCTTAAAAACCCATAATCCCTGCGTTGATGGGTGTGATGGTTGGGGCGGTTAGGGATGGAATCCCTCTCCTGCTCGAAGAAATGGTGACATGTGGAGCTGTGCTGAGATGCGATCGTAGTAAGTGAAGGCCTGGTTTGTATGACTGTTGTATGTTTCATCCTACAGGATGAGTACGACTAGAGTGCCGAGTGTATCCCCTGAGCCTGAATCGAGTTCTGCAACAGGGACTCTTAACCGCCGTGTCTTCTGGTCCATACGAACTGGGATGACGGTGAGTGGGAGGGGCATGCGCTCCTTCCCCAGTCCAATCTGCAGCATCCATCATCCATTTCTCTCGCCTACCCTTTGCCTCATCTCCTCGTGTGCCCGCCCATTCCACCCATCGTTGACATGTTTCTTCCAGTCTTGTTGTGCCCTCACCAGAGACTCACGAAGATGGACTTTTCAATACGGCGCTCCCCTCGGGTTGTGATCCCCGGGATGTAGCAGTGTGCTCGCAGTTGCTACTTGTGCTCCGTATCTGCTAGAGCCCTATGATTGTTGTGAGGGAAAGCGACGCCCTCCGGCTGCATCCCTGCTCCCTTGTGTGAGCATGATGTCAGGAGTGAGCATGATGTCAGGAGTGCCTCTCAACCCAGTGTCTTGAAGGTATCCATGCATTTCTTTAAACCCCCGAAATGCCTTCCCCACCCTGCAGGCTTAATCACTCACACTCGGACAAACCAGGCGAGGCATGCAAAGCCGAGACGACGATGCAGGAAGATGAGTGAAAAGCCCTGATCACTGTGTTTCAGGTCTCGAATGGATGAGCTAGGAGAGTTCAAGAGAGCATGTGTTCATGAAAGTCAGGCACGGGCAGGGGAACTTGAGGCGCAGGCTTCTCGAAACAGATTGGATATAACACTTGAGGCACTTGAAGAGAAGCAAGTTTCAGCCGATGCTAGAGGGAAGGTGGCGAACTGAACACCGACAGCTGTAGTCCTCCTGCGGTGACCCGTTGAACATCTCTGAACCCCTCAGGCCCCCCTACGACTCAAGAGCTTCGTAATCACATACTCTCGACAAAAAGTACTACTCTTGCATCATCTTACAGCATTTGGAATGATCATATATAGCCTTCCGCCAGGTATGCCGAGTTGACGACCTGTGCTGGCGTCTGTCGGCTGCAAGGATGTCTCCAGGCATTCGACAGAGGGCTTTGTTTTTGTTGAGTTGAGTTCGAGGCAACCTCCTCCTCGGCAGATGTGAGCATGAGCTGGGAGTATCGGTCTGGCAGCTCTGGTCCTTGGCTCACACTGGAAAATGCGGCTCCGCAGAATGGAAAAATTCCACGATTCAGAATTGTTTTTGGGTTTCCACCGTCAGAGTAGAGATGTAAAAAGTTCCGCCGTTCTGTCTTAAGAAGTAGAAGGCATCTCTCCAGAATTTCTTGGTCACTCCGTGGCTTCTGCGCTTTGCGGCCTTCAGCTTCCCACCGGGATCGTCGCACCAGCTCCGGGCCAGCGCGGCCTTCAACGCAACGCAGGTCCGTCGCCATGCTGCGTGGCGCTTTACTTGAGGGGGAGGGGGAACACAACATTTCGTTACTCCGGAATTTGTTCTTTTGTTGTTTGCTTTTGCTCAAATGCCGCTCGGCCTTGCAGCACTCGGTTGAGGTGTTCCAGCTTGACGTGGCTGCAGCTGCACCAGTCGTCCCAGTAGTGACTGGACCTGCAGTACTGCCTGAGACTTGCGAACTTGTGGCCGGGTCTGCATTTCATTTTCACGGCCCCAAGCACTTGTTTCCCAAAGACCCTTGTATGAGACTTGTATCATGCTTGTGCAGCGGGGAAGTACGTAAGGTTCTGGACGCCTCACAGTCTTTCGATCCAGACCGTGCAAATGAGCCGCAGTATTTCTGGTCATGTGCGGCGAACGACACGGCCTTCAATTGCCATGCTCTTTCTAACTTCCGCACGGTAACCTGGACTAACACGGATGGTTCAGGCGCATCTGGTTCAGCTTTACGCATTTCGGCTGGCCAGCTGGTGGAAGATGTGTACACCTTCAACGTGACGGTTATTCGGGCCACTGACCGCACATCATTTGGGATTGCTTCGTGGATGGTAGAGGTGCAAAAAGCATCTGCAGTACCGATCACCTTGTCGGTACCATGGTACGCAAATCAACGGCTTTCGGGACAGCTGCTGGGCCAGCTTCCGGAGTTTGCCGCCACAGTTCAGGTGAGCGATGCCTGCGGCATGTCTGCCAATGTGAAGTGGGTTTGGGCGTTGGTGTCCCATGTCAGCCCATCCAAGATCTTGATGTACCTGGACACTACTGCAGTGAATCTCACCGATGGTGAGATTTCTGTCCGCGCGGGTGCGCTTCCTGACAGCTACTTGGTGCCTGGAGACACCTATGCGGTGGCACTGCTGGAGTCTAGCTCGGGTACAGCCTTGGCCGACTTGGCTGAGGCAGAGGTGCAGGGCTTGCGGTTCGCACGTTCCGTGCCTTTTGTAGCTGATGGTGCACCTTCGGGTGGCTACATAGTTTGTCAACCCACGGTTGGTGCGGCGATTGGAACGGAGTTCATGCTGGCCACATCGGGCTGGTTCGATGAGGACTTGGCTCGCCTAGTGTATGCGTTCTATCGTTTTCCTTTGGCTGCCGAATTGAGTCTAGTTGCCGATGCAGGTGGCTCCTTGGTCGAAAGGTTTTCCAGGTGGATGGTATCATTTTTCTGGTTGTGTGTAAACACGGAGTCAAAGAATTCCAGTCGCTGAAACGTGGCATTGGCCGCATTGCACAGAAGGGTTTTTGAGACCAACGAGAGGCTAATTAGCAAGCTCACAACACAACAATCACCAAGTTCATCGTCCCAGAACGTCGCTAGTCTCACTTCGATCGACAGTAGCCCGATATCAACAGAACCAGCGGATCTGACCTCAGGTTTCTCCGTCAGTGGCACCTTTAATCGGCCATCTGTCGATTGGCGCAACAAGAGCAGCCCCAACTACTGGAGCAAGCTGGGGGGGGTGTTCCTAGGGACATCCGATGCCTCTTCGCTGCGGCTCTTCCTCCCACCAGGGGAGCACATGCTTGCTGCAGTGGTGGAGGATGAGCTTGGAGCTGTTCCGGACCAAGCACCAGGGTGTTTCGAGCAGTGCAAAATAGTGCAAAACAAAGCCTCAATTTTACGTGTGCGACTCTCAGGTCTCCAGTGCTTGGCTGGTGGGACCCCTGGTTCAGGAGCCGAGCAGCGCTGCCTCACTGGCCACTGCGGCCCTTGAGTTCGCATTGCGGCTTGGAGATGCCCAGATCATTCTGAACACTTTGGCTTCCACGACTTTCACGATGTCCGCAGACCGGGAACGGGAGGCCAGGTCCTGCCGATTCAAAATGAGTGCTGCGTGCAGCCGTTCCTTTTCACATGTGCTTCCAGACTTCCAGGTTCTAGCGCTCCAGGCTGCCTTGAGCACGATGGACATGCCCCGTGGCATTACAGTGCACGAACCTACAAAAAGGGGAGGGCTTTTGGAGCAAAAGTGTAAATATGAAGCAGAAGAAAGCAAAATTGACCTTCTGCATTCTGCTGCCTTTGTCTGCTTTTGCCGAACAATCTCGCGCCCAGGTCCGATTTGATGCTCTCGGCCGTCAATGCTGTGGATTCTCAACCGCAAAAAAACCACATAAGCGAAGAGTCGCCCTGCAGGGTTTTGGCAGAAAAGGTGTGAGGATCGGTTCTCACTGTGCTGAACCCAGGTTGTGGAGCTGCTCAAGACTGCCGGCCCCAGCGTGGCAGGAACCGTTTCACACTTCCTGATGGCTCTCCTTGTTTCTTGGCGCAACTGTGCAGTCTGTGCTGTCACAGACACAGATTTTCAGAGGTTTTTGATGTAAGCTTCCCTCGACGAAGGGCTCTATTGCGTCGCCGACCACTGGTTTGGACTACCTCTTGGAAGCCGCGCTGTTGATGAAGACTGCGTTTGAAGAGGAGGCAGCTGCGACAGGGTGACACATGTTGACAGCCAGGAACTAGAGCCTGGCACGCACGCACGCACGCACGCACGCACGCACAAACACACACACACACACACACACACACACACACACACACACACACACACACACACACACACACACACACACACACACACACAGACGCACACACACAGCCACACACACACACAGGCACACACACAGCCACACACACAGGCACACACACAGGCACACACACAGCACACACACAGGCACACACACAGGCACACACACAGGCACACACACGGGCACACACACAGGCACACCAGAGACACACCAAAGGCCCACACACAGGGCACACACCATGGCGCACACACACCACACACCGGCACACAGAGGCACACACACACCACACAGGCACACACACACACAACAGGCCACACACAACACACACACACAGGCACACACACACGCACCACCACACACACAGGCACACACACACACAGGCACACACACAGGCACACACACAGGCACACACACACACACACAGGCGCACACACAGGCACACACACACACACAGAGGCACACACACACACACACACAGGCGCACACACACAGGCACACACACACACACACAGGCACACACACACACACACAGAGGCACACACAAAGGCACACGCCTCTCGCATTCCAGGCCTCGCTCCGTGCGGACCAGTTGCGGGCGCTTTTGTCCAAGTTCGGAGATGCCATGGTCACTGGCGTGGCTGGTTCAGGCGAGAAGCATGTCAAATCCCTGGACCACCTGGCAGACCAAATGGGTCGCTCGGCTCAGATCGTTTGCAGAGGATTCTACACTGAGGCATGTCTTGTTGCTATGCTCAGGGCTTGTGGTTTTCGTGTCCCAACGCGAAAATCTCGGGCGTGGCTTAAAGGCTGAGCGACGACACTCAACACAGATTCGAAACTGCCCAAGTTGAATCTGAACGCTACACTGCTACACCCGAGTTCGGGAAGCTTCGGCCTCTCAAAGTGCCCGTGAGCATGTCACGCAAAACGTGAGCAGTATGACGGAAGCAGAAAATTTGACAATGTCTGTACAGATCAGATCTTCTTAATTAACAGTTTCAGAAAAGTGGTGGAACATGGGGAACAGGGGCAACATGATGACACCATGACACTTGGAGCTGCAGGGAGCACGGGCGCGCGGGTACTGAAACGTTATATAGGTCTCACAGTACGTTCAAAGTTCAAAGCGTGTGCCTTTCAGTCTGTACGCTGTACATTGCCTACATGGTAGAAGTGGCTGTTTTGTTTTGGCCCGAAATGCTGAGAACTGTTCTGTTGCGCAGCCGCTGCGGCCTGAGGGCTGGAGGTGGCCGTGAAGGATATCAGCTTGCACGATGCAGTGCGCCACGGTGTTTCCGTGGCAGGACTGGGAGGTCGCTGATCGCTGATGATCGATGGAATTGGCGACAGAGTTGACGCATCCAATCGTTTCGCAAAGGATTCAGCACGCTCCCGCTGTCCGAGATAGAGGGTCAGGCACCTCGAAAGCGTTCTTTCTGGGACCTCGGGCATGGAGAGCCCGACTCAGAACCGTCAGAATCATTCGGCACCTCCATAGCTCTGTACTTCTCTAGAAAGAAACCCGTTGAAGCGTTGAAGGGAGGGAGTTGGAAGGGCGCAAAAGGACTAACGACCGTGTCAGCACATAATCGTCTGCCTGGTACCACAGCAAGATCTCCCGGACCTTGTCTAGGGTGTTCTAATGGGTTGCTGTGGCTTGCTATGTGGAGATATGCGGAATTTTCCTCGAGTGTTGGTTTGCAAGGCTGGCTGCGGGATGGTCACCGGCCAGATCACCACATGGCGGCGAAGTGCCTGTTCACAAGTTTTGCTGCCGCTTCGCGTGCTGCATGTTTTGTTTCTGGGCTGCAGGAAGCTCCTGAGTTTGATATCTGTGCCAGGTAACCCGTATGCTTGGCCCAATGTGTCGAAGGATGCACCGGGGCGATATGTGTCGACTCTGGGCTTTGATTTGCAGATTCATGGCAAAAGTCTCTGCGTGTGTATGTGCATGTTATCAAGTTGCGAAGACTTCGTCGTCAGGAACGTGACAGATGTCCACGTGTGACTTGGCGAAGAGACTGTCGCTGTTGGCATGGGCGGGCAAACCGAACTAGCAAAGCCTAAAATGCCAGACTGGTGTATTGCTGGTACAAAGGGAAACGTCGAGGGAAGGGGGAGCACAGGCAAATTCCTAGGACAGAGGCCCAAGCCAGTGGGGCCAAGGTTCGGGCAGAGGCACGGTATAAGGTGAAGGCTGACTCCCAAAGCAGCGAGACCAGAGCTTTGGTGTTGGATGCGTGGGGGGGGGGGGGGGGGCTCTCCAAATTACATTGTGGAACGTCGACGTCGTCGGCTAGAGTTAAAGTTATTGCAGAGCTAAAGTTATTGCAGAGCTTACTGGGGTGAACCAAGGATTGAGATGCGACGGTGTGGTGCAGTCCTCAACATTTCAGGCGCACATGCTTTGATTGGCTGCTGCTTCTAGCTACCCACACCCACTCTTCGCCCGAGCTGCATGAAGCGCTGTTGGCCAGTGGCTAGCCCCACATTTGATGATTCGGCACATCACGGGAAGAGTTGAGCCAGAGATGTACTCGTTGATCTCAGCCTTGCTGCTGATTTTTTGCTTTGACTACTGCTCGCTATTGCCGGCTTCGTCATGACAGGTTCGCTTGTGCTGCAGCTGGATTTGCCAGACTTACCAGCTGAACCTCTTCCAGAAGGGTTTCGCGACAGCACACGTCAACTTACAAGAAGCATCTAAGAAAGGAGGTTCAGCATTCGCGGATGTGGCCGTATAGAAAGTTCGTCATGTTGTGCCCCCTGGAATTTCGTCTCGCACTTCCAGGTATGCCTATCAGCCAGCCTGCATTCTCTTCGATGTGGCCAGAGAGGAATGGACAACAGACGGGCTGCAGCGGCAGATCTCTGACTCACTTCCAGCATCTCGCCTGTGAATAGAGTTTGTAAAAGCCATGACGCATCACAAGGCCCTGTGCGGCGTGATCGGCCGTGCTGGGATCGGGGTTCGGTTATTGGTCTTGAACCAAGGGCAGCCTCAGATGTTCTGCACGCCTCAGTCCAGCAGAGTTCATTGCGGCCTCTGTGGTCTACAGACCAGAACTTGTGCCCGTGGAAGAAGATCCTCCCAGCATTGCATTGATCATAGGCAGGGAGGGAATGGAGGGCGTTGTCTCGTCGACCACCCCAAGCATGTCTCGACGTAGGGCAACCGAGCAATGCTGCGCCAGTTGCGATCCTTGTGTTCTTGGCGTGCATGGCGGGGCTGGCCTATGCGAACATGAGGACGCCCAAGGCGAAGGACAAGGCCTGGAAAGTTTGCTTTGAGATCTTTGAGTGCGTGAACCAAGATGGCCTTTGCCAGAAAACATGCCGACTGGAGGCTGATTCAGATGTGGAGGCTGCCAAAAAGCCGTCATCCAAAGTCGCGCCGGCTCCAAGCGATGAGTACAAGCCTTACACAATTACATTGCGTCCTGTGATGAAACGCGTTGTTTGCCAAGCCCTGCAAAGTCGCCTGCCCTTCATGGTGGTATCTTGTTGCGACGTCAGAGTTTCTGTTGCGAACTTGTTTTGTTCGCGGCTGCTGGTCCCTGGGTTCCGGCTACCACTGCAAGGTTTCCGTTACATCTGAACGTCATACTTTCACTACATGGTCTTAGATCTCATATAGAGTTGCGCGTGCGGCTTGCCGTCTTCAGGCCTGGCGACACTGTGCCTGAGGCAGCAGAGCCGACGGCCGAGCCAGGCAAGGCCGAGGCAACGGGCAAGCTTTCGGGCACAGACCCCAAACCTTGGTGCATGGTGCAGACCAGCACGAAGTAATCCTTGCTGCTGTCCTTCTCCGCACCTACGCCTGCCAACAAGAGAGTTGCCACATTGTATATCACGAAAGCTAGCCCGTGGGAGCTAGCCGAGTTTCTTACCAACCGTAACGTTGAACAAGAGGGGTGTGGGCGGTGTGGGGATGGAACTCAGCTGGGGTGCGTGCAAGTTGGGTGAGCTAAGTGCATTTCCAACAGCATCGAAACCATGTACGGTGGGTTTAATGCTCAGGGGATTCTCTGGGGATAGATTGGGGATACTCTGGGTTGCACTCCAAGGGCTTCTCCGGGGACACCCTGGGGTTGGGCACTCCAGACCACTCCAGGGATTCTCTGGTGATGCTCTGCACTCCGGGCTTGGGCGGCTCTTAAGCCTGGACACTCCCATTTTTCGGGGATACTCTGGGGTTTCTTGCTCAAGGGTGGGATACGGGTGATGGTGCACCGGGTAGTCAACGGCAGGTCTCACACTTGCCTGTTCGGTCAATGCTGTTATCCTGAGTGGCTTCTCGAGCAAGTGCACTAGCTTTCGTTCCTGCGGTGCCCCAGCCGTCCCCCAGAATACCGGAAGCTGGAGTGGAAGCACGATCCCGAGCAGGAAAAGTGCACCGGCCTTGAGCAAGAGCGGTGCCTCGAACGTGCTGTGGGCACTGGACCGAAACAAAAGCCAACATGTGCAGATTCTATCAGAGGCTTCGAACGAGAGCCGTGTTGTCGCCGAGAGTGAGTTGGGGGGGGGGGGGGGGCACGACGTCATCCAGTAACCAGAACCCGTATTGCAAGCATTGAATTCTGAGCCTCATTCCCACTGATTTCGTCGCTTCGATTTACTTGTTATTTACTCGTTGTTATGGAATCTTGGCTAGAGTCTCAGGGGCAAGGTTGCGGCCAAGTTTATGGCATTTAAAGAAGCCGATGGCCCAACGCTGCTGCTGATGCCCATACTCTGGTAGCGACAGACCAGCCTGGCAAACCTAGCCCAAGCATGCCGCATGCCCTTAGTCTAGCCCAAACCTTTTCGAGCTTCACCATCTGAAGTGGCTATGTTGCGTCAGTAGCTTCTGCAGCCCTGGAGTGGGGAGGCTGACTTGTCTGTGCCGGCTGTCGCACCTGCTCTGCCGCCTCTTCCAAGTTGCTGCCTAAGCACCCGAGCCTCCTGTCGAGTGTTCTGTCTGTAGTTCCAGACTTGAGAGCTTGGAGGCCTGGTGAGTGCGAATGAATGCACACGAATGCACACTTGCATATAAGTTCAATTTCAGCACTGTTTGGTGTCTGGGGGGGAGGGCTCGACTGAGACATGACGTTTCAAGGTGCCAGCTCTGGGCCTTCGCGAGCAGAGGGCTCAGGCGTGGTCACACCTCTCCTCAGACCTGCGCGCATCCTCTCCAACCCGACTGGCAAATGTGTAGGGACTGTCAGAGTCAGTTTTCCAGGGGTACTGTTGGGGCAGGGGCATGCTAAGTTCTGTCACTAGTGGTGTGTTGCAAAAGAGTTTCAGGCGCGCTTGGCGGACTGCGTGTTTGAGAGGGTTTTTTTGAGAGCGACGGTCTTCGAAGTTCAGGAGATGAGAAATTGAGTTTGCCGTGCTTGGACCTATGCTGTCCGGGGTCGGAACGCGCACGACTCTCTGGGCATTGGGCATGCTGCACACGAGAGCCCGAGCATTTTGTTGGGGTACAGGGCCTGCTCCCCAACTCGGTTATGCCAGTGTTCTTTCGCAGTCGATTTCGACTCCCCACCTCCATAGGCATGATGATGTCGTGAACATGTCATGAAACGAGAAGCTGCCCGGCGAGCATAGCGAACCGGATGCTGGTGGATTCACCACCCACCTAACACTTAGCCGCTTAGCCTTGGCAGGATCGCCTGCGGAGGCACTTGTCCCGAAGCCGCAGCTGGCAACCTGGCTTTTGAATGAACCAGCCTTTGTTTCTTTGAACACGGAGTTTCTGATTCTTTTTCCCAATCGTTTGAGAAGTTGTTGTCAACTGCTGCAGCTGTGGCTCTGAAGCCAGGAGAGCGCCGTCCCCATCGAAGCTCCTACCGAGAGCCCAGAGTTTCAAAGCTTCGTGGAAGGCTACAACAAGTCGGACCTTCCAACAGCTCCCGAGGAGATGAAATATCGGTCTTGGCGGATTGCAGTCTAACACTTCAAAGCGGCCCCTATACTCCAGAAATGTTCGGCGTCTCCAACCTCCCTACATGGCCCTGCGTGTCAGGAGGCTCCAGCAGCACCAGAGGTGCCAGGCTGCCCTGAAACTGAGCCCTGAGCTGTGTCGGACTGTGCAGATTCGAGCTCGCCGCTGCCTCTTGTTGTGTTCGTCTTTAAACTTGAGATTGAAACGCACTGCCCTATCGACACATTCGAGAACTCGAGAGTGGCGAAGCACTTAGTGATGTTACTAGCCGGTCCATAAACGAAAGCTTCAGATTGTGAATTCGGAGAAAGGTGTCGGAGAAACCGACTGCAAGAATTGGCACGTGCACACGCACTACCACAGACTTTAGGTGCTTCGAGCCCCTTTGGGCAGGCGCACATACCCGTACCATGAGGAACCATGGCAACCAGGCGTGCCAAGCATGTCTCGACGCTGTGAGGAGTCCAAGCTTCATACCTGACCGAAAGATGAGTCGGGTGCTGTAAGCCATATGCAACTGAATGCAAAGCTGCTGAAGCTAGCGGTGCCGCGCAATTTTTGCGAAAAGACGTGTTCTTGCTTGGCGTGATCGCTGGTACTGGTATGTTGTAGGCCTCTTTCCTTCATTTGGCGTTGATTTCTTCTCGAAAAAGAACTGAAGCGCTACGGGAGTGGTGCTCCCTGGTGATGCTTCAAGACTCGAGTTGCGACATTTCTTTGTGGGTCCAAGACGCTTGGCACGAAAGATGTATCGGTATGTGTTGGATTGCTTGCTGATATTGTCAGGCTGCACTGACGTATAGCTGCTGTTGCCATTTTCCTTTGTCGCTGTTGCTGCTGCTGCTGCTGTTGCTGCTGCTGCTGCTACTGCTGCTGCTGCTGCGGCGTGAGGAAATATTGGAGACCCTTTTGTTCCTCTTCTTCGGTTGTTGTGTAACACATGTACCAGGTGTGTAGGGACAAGTGGAGCGACGACCGCCGAAGAAGCATTCGTCGCTCCAAATTTTTGCAGCTTTCAGCTTCGACGCCATGATGTTCGTCGCTGTTTGCCTCGCCTTCAGCGTCGCAGGTTGCCGCCATTTTGGCTGGAGATGAACAAACGGCCGCTTGTTTTCAGCTTTCCACTGCCAACCCAATCGTGTGCCAGCTGGCTGTGTTTCTGGGCGGACTGTGCAGCCCGAGCGCGCGATGCGCTTCGACGCAAAAGTGCTTTCGGCTGCACGTCTGCCAGTTTTGGGATCTAGAGAGAGTAGCAGCGCTGGTCGGTTGTGGGCCTCTGTTGTTTGTTGTCTGTTTGGTATAGGTTTTTGTTTTTGTTGGGGTGGGGGTGGGGGTGGGGGGGGGTGGGGGTGGTGGGGGGGGGTGTGTGGTGGTGGGGTTGGTTGTTGGTGGTGGTGGTGGTGGTGGTGGTGTGGGGTGGTGGGTGGTGGTGGTGGTGTGGTGGTGGGTGGTGGTGGGTGGTGGGGGTGGTGGGTGGGGTGGTGGGTGGGGGGTGGTGGGTGGTGGGGTGGGTGGTGGGTGTGGGTGGTGGGTGGTGGGTGGTGGGTGGTGGTGGGTGGTGGGTGGTGGTGGGTGGTGGTGGGTGGTGGTGGGTGGTGGGTGGTGGGTGGTGGGTGGTGGGTGGTGGTGGTGGTGCCCGTGCACCATAGCACGGATGTAGACACCCTGCCAAGTGTTGGACAGTGCTACTGAAGTGTCCACTCATCCTGTGTGCCGTGTCTCCTGAATCCATCGGCTAGATTGTCGTCAGAGGGAATCCCTAGCACTCACTGCACCGAAGCCCAGATGGTATGACAAGCATACCGCGTCAATAGCGGGGTGGGGGGGGTTGTTGTTGTTCCCCCACCCCCCCCACTTGTTGTTGAACAACAACCCCCCCCCCCCCCCCCACTGAAGTTCGAAGAAGATCGCGGGACGGGGGGGGGGGGGGTGATTGTGTTCCCCCCCCCACTTGTTGTTGAACAACAGCCCCCCCCCCCCCTCCCTTCTGAAGTTAGAAGATAACGGGATGGGGGGGGTTGTTATTGTTCCCCCCCTCCCCTCTGGATTGTTTGAAGAACAACCCCCCCCCCCTTCTGGGGGTTGTTGTTGTTTCCCCCCCCCTCCTGACATCTACTATATCAGGCGAACGCGGTCTAGAAGAATTTGGTTTTCTCAGTATGGTAACTTGGAGCGAATCTTCTTTTGTTTTTCGTATTTCATTCTTCGAAAAATCAGAGGAGTAGTGACGAGACGATTTTTGTTTATAGAAGTAGATTTTATTTTAAATCACAGACGAGGGAGTGGGAGGAAGGGAGAAGCGAGAATGCGGAGTGGGAGGAAGGGAGAAGAGAGAAGGGAATGTATTCTAAATTCCACCCCCCTCGAATCTTTTTTTGTTTTATGTGTTTCATTATTTGAGAAATCAGAGGAGGAGAGAGAAGGGAATTTATTCTAAATTCCACCCCCCCTCGAATCTTCTTTTGTTTTTCGTATTGCATTCTTCGAAAACTCAGAGGAGAAGGGAGAAGGGAACTTATTCTAAATTCTACCCCCCTCGAATCTTCTTTTGTTTTTTGTATTTCATTATTCGAAGATCAGAGGAGTAGAGACGAGAGTGTTTTTGTTTCTAGAAGTAGAGAGCGGGGGGGTTGGGGGGGCGCAGCCCCCCCCAATTGCACTTCCAAGCCTTCCCCCTCGAATCTTCTTTTGTTTTTCGTATTTCATTCCTCGAACACTCAGAGGAGAAGGGAGAGAAGGGAATTTATTCTAAATTCTACCCCCCTCGAATCTTCTTTTGTTTTTTGTATTTCATTATTCGAAGATCAGAGGAGTAGAGACGAGAGTGTTTTTGTTTCTAGAAGTAGAGAGCGGGGGGGTTGGGGGGGGCGCAGCCCCCCCCCCCCAATTGCACGTCAGAAAAGTACAGAACTGGTTTATCCACCCTCCTGGTTTCCAGGGGTTGGAGAGGGGGCTTCAAAGGGGGCTTCAGGAAAGTTTAACCTGGATTGAACCCTACTAGTAAGCAGTAGTAGTAGTCGCAGTAGTAGTAGTAGTAGTAGTAGTAGTAGTAGTAGTAGTAGTAGTAGTAGTAGTAGTAGTAGTAGGAGGATTAGTACTATTATTATTATTATTATTAGTAGTAGTAGTAGTAGTAGTAGTAGTAGTAGTAGTAGTAGTAGTAGTAATAGTAATGGTAGTAGTAGTAGTAGTAGTAGTAGTAGTAGTAGAAGAAGAAGAAGAAGAAGAAGTAGTAGTAGTAGTAGTAGTAATATAAAGGAGGGGGGGGGGTTGTTGTTCGAATAACAAGTGGGGGGGGAGAACAAGGGGGGGGGGGGGGGGGTGTTGTGTTGCTCTTCCCCCCCCCCCCCCCCTCCCTCCCCCCCTTCTATGAGAGGGAGAGGGGGGGGGGGGTTGTTGTTCGAATAACAAATAGGGGGGGGAACAACAACCCCCCTCACCCCTGCTTATTGAAGGGGTCTCATGACAAGCAGAAACGATAGGAGAGATATCGCCCGAAGGTGGACCAGGTGCCCCAGAAAGGTCTTGAGCCGAACACCTTGGAGAGTGAAGTTGGACTTGCCGTCCTTGTACCATGCCTTTCTGCTCCAGCGGGGCCATCTCGCAGGATTGTTGTGAGAAGGCACTTGAGCCATGTCTCGCTGGAGGCATGTTGCGATTCTGTGTCTCTGCCAGCTATGCTTGCAAGCAGCGGTGGAGCAACTTGTCAAGAAGTTAGCTGCCTGGCCCGAAAGCAGACTTGCGTCTAGTCTGGGGGCCGTTGCTTGGAGCCTCCCAGGCTGGTGGTGGATAGAACGCACACATCCAGTACTTTTGATGGAGTTGGAGGCTTGAGCGGAGGTGGTGCAACTAGTGTGCCTTGGAAGATCTGGGAAAGCTTCGTGACGAACTATTATGTGAGTCTTGTGCGCAGTCTTTGTGGCCACACGATGAGTCCCTCATTCGTCACATTTGTCCCAAGCCGCGTGGCAGATTTGACGGTTCCGAGCCTTGGAGGATGGAATTCGCGGATCCAATGAATCATATGAATCTGCTTCTGCTTATGTCACGTGAGTCTCCTAGAAGCCCGAAAAGCCCGTGGAAGCCCTTCGCTCCCCCCGAACACAACAGCCCAAGAAGAACAAGCGGCCAACAAGAACAAGCCTCAGAGCTGCTTCATTGGCATTGCGAGGTATTGCTTCCCGACTATGCGGAGCCCTCGCGCTCTCAGATCTTAGATTACCTCTTCACTCCCAACTTTGGAGCCTCGTTGCAGCTGTTGAAGGCCTGAGGGCTACAGGGCATGTACACCCACCAAAGGTTCCATCTTCAAATTTCATCCCAATGCGGCGTGAAGAGGTGGAAATCGGCGGCGACTCGCAGTCCACTGATGGCACCGAGTCGTCCCACATGCATGACAGCGAGACCGTCGACCTCCACACTGGTTACGAGTCAAATGCTCATCTTCTTCAACGGAAAAGGAACCCGGGCAGGCATGTCACAACCCCAGCATTTCACAGACTGAGGTGGTGGCTCATGCAGGAAGCACCTTGACTTTAAGTGGCTGTAGTGTGAGCCACTGGTCTTGTACGCAGCCCGCGAAGGTTTCAACAAGGTCTCATGGCTGCAGTTAGAAGTGTATACGGCCTTTCTTGCAGATGTTGGCAGGCGAAGAAACGCAATCCCGACATCAAGTTGTACGGGCTTGCTTGGGCATTTCCAGGATGGGTCGGTGAGGGGTCTGGAGACCCATTTAAGTTTCCAGAGCGCACGGCCCACTATCTGACAGAGTGGGTTTCTGGCGCGAAGTCGGAGTACGGGTCGCCAGACTGCAACTTGTAACTTTCTTGTTGCCATTATGAGCGATTCGCTAGCCTAATTAGAGGGGCGTCGCATGTGCATGCTCTGACATACTCCAGCTGCAAAACCGAGGCTAGATATCGACTATCTGGGAATCTGGAACGAAAGGGCATCCGACAGCAGCTTCGCTCCCTGACTGAAGGGTTAGTTGTTGATGTTTTGTCATAAGCGGTATCGCAGCGGACAAGGACCGTGGTATCTGCTGACGGCTGGTAGGTCTTCAGGGATTGGATTTTGTGTTTGTTGTTGTAAGTGGCCCGTAGATTAGGTTCAATGGCATTCACTCGTGCCAAACGACGAAATCGATGCCCGCGTATTTCGAGATACATGGCGATGTGCTTCTGCTTCAACTTTGCATCATTCATGCCAAAAACTGTGCAGACATTGAGGCACACCAAAGGAATGGTATCTCTATTGGCCCTGCTGAAACAAAATCAAAAGTCACCGATGCAAAAAACACATCATGGTGTGGTGGAAATCGGAAAGCCCACGCGCTCAAGCACACACGCACAGACTAACTACGTGCACAGTTCGCATCCTCTTTGGCGCTGAACTTGTCGCAGAGACGGAAGGAAGTGAGTATGCCCGAAGAAGCTAGGACCTACGAATGAGAACGTGATCCTGACTGAAAGACATGGCCTGGGCGTGCTTCAAGCGTGGGAAGGGGCGACCACGGAGTCCCATACCCAATGCAGGGACACACGATGTGATGACCGCACGTTAATCCGTGTTATCTGGGAAAGAAAACATGGTGACATAGCGTAGTCCGTTTTGAGCCGCAGCTCCGTTGTGTCGATCCAAGGTGCAAGTTCTGAGAAAGACCTTGAATCAAGCGGGATATGCTGGCTACTTGCAGGCAATGGAAAGCACCCGAAGATGGGGTAGCGAAAAAAAGGCGAGTGACGATGATGTCCTGTTGCGCTTCTTGCGCGTGAGGCTCTGTTGTTTTACCTTTGTCTGCAAGGAACCAAACTGGTAGTGAAGGATGGCGACATGGGCATCTGCAATGACCTTTTGAAAGACAAAGCTTATGCTGATGCCGTGGACATAGTGGGTCTGCACTATCCCAGCGACTTTGCGGATTTTTCTGTCGCTTGGTTTCTGGCAGCCTTGCAGTAGCAGTGCTCGCATGCCAACAGCCAGCACCACCAGCGCATTTCTTCCAGCATACCTGAATTTGGCTGCGGAAGAGCGCGGGCCACCTCAGGCCTGCAACCAATTGGGCAAGCCGATCTGGGCTTCGGAGGAATCCTCGTCTTACGATGACATGAACGGTGCAGCCTGCTGGGGGCGCGTGATAAACTCCCATTGGGTCATCAACAGGATGCTTGGTCTTTGTTTATCTTGAACTCCAGCGTTTGGGGGCTCATTCATGGCCTTTCGCGACGACTCCCAGGATGACATCTTCCATCATGTGGAACCTTGTAGGTGCTTTGAGAGCTCTCTTCAAAGTGGGTTCTGCATGTCGCCTATTCGCCTGACAGCCCATGGCATTCTGTTCCTTTGCAGGTGCTTACTACCACGGTACCAACTGGTACGCCAGCTCCATGATGACCTCGGTACAGCCGTGGAGTGGTCACTATGAGGTTAACCCGGTCATTTGGGCGACGGCGCAGCTCGGAAGTGCAGTCTTGGCATCCTCTGATATGCTTTGGTGTTGGCTCGATCAAGGCGCCTTTGGCGTTAACGGTCTGTTTTGGGCTGCATCCCAGGCACGTCACCCAGTTCACAAAGATTGGATGGAAGTATCTTGCAAACGGTTCTGGCTCGGGTGAGCTGCCTCACGGAGGGTATTATGCCACTTGGGTAGATCCCTCGTCTCAGAACTTCACCATGAACTTCGTGAAAATCTCACGTCGGGTTCTGAGTCTGATGTGAGCAAAGTGCTCCGAAAATCCTGTGGCTTCTCGAAGCCCAGGTGATCATGCATCCTGTACGCGGCCCCCGCTGCCAAGCTTCGAGGTAGAGGAGGCCAGCGCCGACTGGTTTCGGAAAGTTTCGCTTCTTCCGTTTCTTCTTCATCTTCGGAAGACATGACTTGATCAGGAGACGCTGACAGTCTTGCTGGCTCCTTCTTTGCACGCGCCGCCAGAGCTTCAAGTTTGGCATCTTGTTTGCAAGTTCGCGGGGTGCTGACAGGTGCTGCAACAGCTTCTGACATCCTCTGTCATGTTGTCGTCAAAGTTGGGACTACGGAACTGGTGCTGCCACTGCTTCCCCCAATGAAGTTGCGTTGAGGTATTCCAACTTTGAGTCTTACGACGACGCCGAGCCGCCAGTGTTCCAGCACTCGACAGTGCAAGTCCGGGACTCCAGGTTCTCGATCAAGGTACCAATTGGTGGAATGCTTACGGTGACCACTATAAAGACTGGTCGAAAGGGAACCTTCCTTTCCCGGATTCCACCCTCGTCACCTTCGTTCCCCTTGGACTACATGGACGACTTCCAGACTACTGAGGACTCACGCAATGCCAGGTGACAGGGCCTCGTTTTGGATGTTCTTTGCAGATTCTCTGACTCTGTTTCGAAGAAGTGAAAACTGGCTCGTAAACCTTTGGGGCCTCAGATTGCACTTCATGCCAGATGGTTTGCCGATCAGATCGGTTCTTTCGAGATCCATCGAGCAGAAGATGGCAAGCGAAGCCTTCGGCAGATGGTGTCCCAGCTGCACAGGCTCCGAAACTGAACCAACCAACGATAATGTAAAACAAACTGTTCGCATCTCCGCATCTTAGTTTGTTCCGTCCGGCAGTCCCGTCCGTCCTCGGGCTTTTCTGCACAATTTCAGACAGTTGCAATGATGCAGGCGCAGCCGCACAGCCTTCATATGTGGGCATGCGCGAGACGAGCAAATCAAGAGTCCAAAAGCCAAAAGATACAAAACAAAACGCAGCAGCCAGTCGTTTGTCGCTGCAACATGCTATAACATGCCGCAACTGTCTATGTTCGTCCTTGTTCGTCAGGTTCCTCTCCTTCCAATCGGCTGGACCGACAAGGGTTCCAGGGGTCCTATGACCCTCATTGGTATGCGGGAGTGGCAGGACATTAAGGCCCTTGGGTTTTCGAGAAGATTCCTGTTGAATGATATGAGATGACACCGGTAACTGCAGTCGCGGCCGATCTTTTGAGGTTGCCGCTTAGTTTTCTATCATTGCCATCCATGCAAAAGATGAGAAGTTTCCAGGTTCAGGTGTCGTTCAGACTGCCGGTGGCAACCCATGGAGCAGCTGCAGATGCTGCGTGCGTTGGCGCGCGAGTGGATCAGATGTGGAAGAACGGTGTGGTCTTATGCGGCTTGAGCAGCAGTTGATGGGCAGAAACATGGATCCATTAGCAGCAGCAATAACAGGCAGCATAATCAAATCAGGGCAGAAATACCAGGAAAAGCAATTTCGAGAGTCGCGTGCAATCCCAATCAACCCAATCAACCTTAGCACTCAAAGCCTGCTTGCTTGCAGAGTGCGCATAACACACCCCACCCCACTTGGATCGACAGTTTCCGGACAGAACGGATTCAGCAGGATGCTGGCGCAAGTTAAGGAAGTCGCATTCAAGTTTGTAGTTCCGAAGGCGGTGGTCCCGAAGGCCACACACAGTTTTCAGCGGAGACCCTCACCCGCTTTGAACCTTCCAAAGGCATCGACAGCTGGAGCCAAGCCTGCACCAAAGCCTCGTTGCCTGTTGGACAGCACCGAATTCGCCATACAAGTTTGGCCAGTGCAGCAGAATGTTCAAGTAGGCGGGCATATCAAGTACCAAGCTGCATGAAAACGGCAAAGCTTCCAAAGGCCACCCGCAAGATAAATGCAGAGTGTCATCCGGATAGAGCCGATGCAAAGGCTGCCAATATGCGATACTATGCTCGACGCTTTTGCCTGCTGGATGTAAGTTCGAAAACGGATAGGTAAAGTGGGTTGGCAAGTGCACAACAACTAGAGTACGTTGTCTACTTGGGTGGGCCCGTGTGGCTGAATGATGTTTCTGATGCATATCATGCGCTGGTGTCTCAGCATGTCCAGATATAACTTATCGTCTTGGGCTTCGGCCCGTCAACAGGCGTTCTGCAGGCTTCTGAGGCCAATGGGTCAAAAGCGTTGCGTGCTGCCATGAGCCTCAGTTTCTCCAAGGTATCAATCGTGATGGGCACTGGGAGCTCTTGAACTCTGGTCCTGCACTTCAGGGCCCTTCGCTCAGAAAGAATATGAACGAACGAAGCTTTCTCAAGTAGAGTCCTGGATAGGTTGCAAAGCTGGGTTCCATCGCATGTGGCACCAGGCTCATCCGCACCCGCCCCGGTGCCGATTGCGTCTGGCTCGACAAGGGCCATCGGCAGCACGTGGCACGTGCTGTCTCTGGAAGTTGGCCCATCCAACGAGGCAAGAAGCAAGAAGGAGGAACTGAGGAACGCTTGTCCAGTGACATCCAGTTACCCTGTGCAGGCCCAAGGTGCTCTTGATGGCCGCCAATTGCTGTCGAACGTCCCTGTGCGGGACATGGATACAGGCAGAGTGCCCACAGCTCTAACACCCTGCGGTCTCCTTGGCGCCAAACGAGATGCAGCGTGAGAGGCTTCGCGGCCATCGGTGCCAATGGATGGTTCCCCATAGAGTTCCGCAACTTCTCCGTGTCCAAGGCCATGTCAGTCGTTCAGCAGCTGACACTTTGAGAATGTTTCAGGCGGGATCTGCAGCACAGCTTGAAAGGCTCCGGCCGGTTGGTCTCCCCCGGCAAGCTGCCTCATGCCAAGATCGCCCCGCCCAGCCCTGTCGGCACAGCCTTGCAGCCGCAATGGCTACATGGATCCTGAACCTTGGCTTCTCGAAGACATGCACACTCTGGGGCTGAGCAGTGCAGAGCTCAAATCGCTTTCGCTCTAGCATTCCTGCTGTCCGGTCGTATGCAGGAGCAGGCTTTCGACTTGCTGCCCTCGTACCAGTTGCTGCACATCGCTACAGGCCGTGGTTCTAAGGGTCCTGGGCATGCCCTTGCACCCAATATGAGGGCATGTCTTGGGGCGATGAGACATTTCGGAAGAGTACCCTCCCAGCCTGCACGAGGACTCTGCGCCAGTGCCAGCGAACCAGGCCCTGTGGTCCTCGAGAAGTGTGCCTAGACTGGAACAAATTGGACGCGCACGCACACGCACACATGTTTGTTGTTCAGGCAATCCCATCTATCTGGTATTATGTAGGTCATCTGCTGATCAGATGCAAAATGCAGCGCGGAACCCGCACACTCAAGTCCTGGCCCCACACAAATGCGGCCCCGACACTTTAGAAGGCGCTCCGTTGAAGGGGCGTTTTGCTCTGAGCTCAGGTGATGCCACACAGGCAGCACAGCTTTTCGTGAATGATTACACCCTGGTTCGCAACACGCTTGTTGACTTCGACTCCAAAGCTGTGTGGCTGGGACGCATCAGGGCGGGCTGGGAAGTGCATTGCCGAAAAAACCACAAGAGTTGCTGCATGCTGCTTACTAGGAACAAGCCCCTGGCTGGAGACAAGTCTGGTGCAGTTTTCGTGGGAAAGACTGGAGACTGGGCGAAGTGGACGTATTTCCCGAGACTTGGCTTGCAGTAGGCTTCTGACATCTAACCTGCGCATTTCTCTTGGAATTCAAGGCGGAAGTCACTGCACTTACCCTTCCGCTTTTCTTAGGAACACAAAGCAGCTGCGCAATCAGTACGTCGCACAAGTCGATCTGGGGTATCCCATGTGCTTGTCTAGCTGCCCGAAGAAGGCATTGGTCTTGGAGGAAAACCTTGTTTATACTTGAGCTTCCATAATGCTTGACAGTGGATGCTTGATTCTCTGTCCAGCTGCTTGGAGTACGTGAACATGAGCCACATATGCCACCTGCAAAGCCCGATTTAAACGTGGGACGAGCAGAGATGAGCATTTGTTTGTTAACAGTTGGCCGGTTCGCTCGAGTTAGGTCAAGCGGTTCTAGTCTGAAGAACCAGCCATCTGCCTCTGAAGACGGCGTTCGCCCAGCAGCGCTGCGTTCAAAAGACGTTAACTTCTCTTGCATGCGCTTGCGCGTTTGGGCCCCTGAAGGATTGTAAGGTTTGGGGTTTGGGGTCTGGAGATGTCGGGAGTGGAGGCTGCTGCTGGCACCCTTGCAAGTCCGCCTTCAGGTCTGCAGTTATTAGTTATACCATGGTAGTATGGCAAACAGTAGAGTAGGCATATGCAAGCCATTCAATTCAAGTCGATGTTTGAAGCCTCGCTAGTCCCAGTCTCAGCCCCGCTTGTCGTTAGCTTCAGCTCCCACTCAGCTCCCATGCCGTGCATGAGATGTGTTGGGCGGCAACGCCGGGAGCTGAGTATATAAAGTGAACGGGCCGGAGTCCTGATGTCGCGTGTCAGCATGCATCTGCCGAGGTATGCGTGGACGTGGCTTGTGGGCCGGCCATGTTGGCGACTCTGTGACACGGTCTGCAGTTTGAGGATGCTGCGATAAAGAGCAAGGGTGCTTTGAACGGTGAGTTTATCAGTGGCATCATGCAGCCACCCCTGCTCAAGTGCGAGCCCCTGCACTCCAAAAACTACATAGAACTACCAGATATTGAACCCAATCGTCCGAGGCTCGGCCGGCTCTTGCACATTCGAGAGGGTAGCACAGCAGCACATGCTCAGCACATGCCCCGCTCCCAGCTCCTTGGACAGGCCATGGCGGCAACGGAGCAGAGCAGCCTGACCGGAGGCCCCTGGAAGTCAGATTGGGGATTGGAATCTTTGTGGGGTGTCGGGTTCAGGTCTTTTCCATGTCAAGGCCCGTATGGAAGAGCGGCTAGAGATTGGGGTATGCAATACGCAAATATGCTGTGCAGGAGCCAGAAAAGTAGTGTCTTACGTGGGGTATTGTGAAATTCATCAATAATTCGGGCCTTGACACTTCCGTGATTAGGCAGGTTCTTGGCTGGTGAAGGTCCAAAGTCCAAAGCGATACATACGGTCAAAGGAGGGCGGTGTCAAGCGGCTTGGGGTACATGATGGTACATCCCCCATACCTGTTTCAAACAGGCCCCCAGCAGTTGGCCGGCATCCAAGACCTCGAGGTCCGCCACGGCTACTTGGTTTACTTACTTGATGTAAAGGCTGAGATGCAGAACCATGCAGTCCCCCAACTCGACCCAAAAAAAGACAGGCATGTGCCCTGGTATGTGTCTGAAGACTTGGGTAGCAACGGGTGTCTTGATAGGCTTTGCTTTTGCAGACTCATGCCCGGCCTGCTTCAGGCTTCATCCGCAAGGTGTACGGTATACTTGGAGTCCAGATGACAATCACGACGATCATTGCAAGCTTCTTGATTGTGCAAACAGAGACAGGTTTCCCTACGCCAGGCCGTTACGTTAATTCGGAAGTACTTGCTGCTATTGTTCCGAGATACTCAAGTAAGCAGTGTGCCCAGTCTATGTTCGTCCTCTTGACTTCGCCAAAGGCCTCATCACCATCTACGGCGCGAATCTGGTTCCTTGGCTGGTTACCATTGTTCAATGCAGTTCTTGCAGAAGCTGGCTACCTGCACTACAGCCGCATCTACCCAGAACTAAGGTGAAGTACAACCCTGCGTTGGTGACATCGTTGATGGTAGTCTCAATGGCCAGATTCTTAGTGGGAAGTCGTGCTTGTAGTGCCCAGCTTCTCCTTTAAGGCCTTGCCGCCTTGCCACGTAATCCGTCCCCCCGCTTTTGTTAAGGATCTCATTCCCGAGCACACCCCTTATCAGAACCCTCCGAACCCCTCCATAATTTGGCTCCGTACAGGGTTGAGGGTGTCGGGCTCAACTCTCCCTGAACCGGTTTGCATGACACGAAAACGCTGTCGGTCCGGAGGTGTATTGCGGGCGGTGCTGGGGGGGGGGGGGGGGCACAGGGGCCGGATGATGCGTTGGTTTCCAGCAGTTTCAACTATTTGTTCGGCAACGTGTGTCTTGGCCAAGGTCATGGCAATCAGCTAGGCCCTGAGCAGATCTTGTGAACTGACAAGCAGTCGATGCAGTGCTTCTAGCTGCACCAAGGCACAATGTGCGTCTTCATGTGCTGCCCTGATACGATGCGGAAAACGCCTACAAACTACATGCTGCTCCCTAACTTGACAAAGAGCAGGCAGCTTGTGGTGGGTTGTTTTGCAGGCTTGCGTAGGCTTCACCTGCCTCGATGCTACCAGACACTTCCATTTAAAGTTGGAACACCCTTCATATCATGGATCGTGGTTTTTGACCAGCACGAGCACGACACGAGATATTGCAATCGTTGCTCTGGGTTGGGTTTGACTTCAATTTGCAGAGCTTTAGCCTTTCGGCAATCAGAACCTCGGCCTCTGTCCCTAGCGGCCCTAGCACCAGTCATGTTGTAGCTTGTTCGTTGGCGGCTTCCCTGCTGCTCGTGAACGTCCACTGCTCCGAAACATGCCACTGTAACGGCGATCTGACTGGGATGGGCCGCCGTGAACGGGCCACGTGGCCCATTGAGAGGGCCTCATAGGCATCCGAAAGGTCTTAGGCTCGCGAAATCCTGCACAGATCTGAAAACCGTGGAAAGGGTACACACCAGTACGCCGCAAGGGGGGCCTGATGGTAGCGCATGTGCGTTCCGATCTGCACCGATGGTCGATGGTTGCTGCATTGGCAACCTTTGTGTCCGAAACACAGCGTGAGGAGTTTGGGTGTGTGGACATGGGTATATCATCGTACGACGTCGGCTCATGGAGTTTCATGGCATTGTGTTCTGTGTAGACCGCTTCCGGCTTTAGTGGGGAGATTCGCCGCCCACTTGCAACAGCGGTTGTGTTGCAGCCTTTTCGGACATAAGAAAAATTTGGGGGGGATTACTGTAGAGGACCAGGGTTGGCACAGGGATTCTGCCACCCGAAAATAAAGAAACTATGCTGACTTGCCACCTTCCAAAACCGAGGTTGTTATGCTTCACAGTTGCAGAATCTGTAATGGTGGGCTCCTTGTCAAGACATCTTGTTCTTTCGCAGCCCTTCCAGTACACACGTGCCAGCAACAGGCAGCAGTTCATGTCACATGTGTGCTGCATGCTGTGGGCTGGGGTCACAATAGTGGCCGACGGAGGTTTCATTTGTGTCCAATACACCGTCCAGTCCGTTCTCGTGACTCTGGGCATCACGGCCCCGCGGTTTTGAGAGGGCTCCGTCTTACAATGGGAAGTGCTTGAGCTCCAGTTATCATGTTGCAGTTCGCGGGCACACAGGCTGCGCTGGTGCTGGCGCTCTCCCTCTTTGCCCTCCAAACCTCGCCCACTTGCTGCACACATTGCAGTACAGGAAAGAAAGAATGGAGCTTCATGTGGGACTTGTGCCAACGCCATGGGTATGAATTGATCTCGTCCAGGTATGACTTCACTGGTTTCATGCCGTACCTGTTTGCGCTCGTCTCCTGCCTTTTCTTGTTCGGCCTCGTGATGTCAATCTTCAGCTGGTGCGGCGCTCTGAGTGCCTTGGAGTCAGCCTTGACTGTTTCGGAGTTTCGGGCCAGTTGGGATGGTCAGGGCCATCATGGTCCAGCCTCTTCTAGAACAATACAAACAGAGCAAAGCATGCCGCTTTCACTTTCAGCCGCGAGCTCCGAGCAGAGCCCAGCTTCTCTGCAATTCCGCGTCAACATATGAGGTTCTGGTGCTTTCCAGGTGTTGCACCTCGGCACCTCAGGCCCTCAGGTGATGTCAATGCCCAGCCTAGGCAGTGGTACCTGGGTTACACTCTGTTACATGATGTGCACCAAAGGAATATGATCTATGCTGGTCTTGGAGCTATAGTCTTCTCCTTCTACGTCATCTTCGACACCCAGCTGATCGTTGGTGGCAAGCACAACAAGTTCAGGCTGGCAGCTCTCTGGAGCTTGTGGTCTTGGTGATCTTGGTCTGATCGTCATCTCCAGATTGCGTGATTTGCAGGTTCAGTATTGATGACTACTGCATGGCAGCCGCACAGCTGAATGCACCTTGTGTTTCCGGCATCGCGACATTGCCAGAGCTTCCGCATCTGTCACAAGGCGATCAACATCTACGTCGACATCATTCAGCTGTTTTTGTTCTTGCTGCAGCTTCTGGGCGAGCGTCGCTGAGAGCCTCCAGCATGCCCAAGAAGTGTCAGAAGACGTATACGTAGGCTTGTGTTTTCGCACAGAAGCTGTGCGCATTCCTGTGCTCAGCTTGACCAGCTTGACCTGGCTGGAGTGCATGGCCAGGAAAGGAAGGCCAAAAATGTCGGAGACAAACTTACAATGAAATCCAGTTGCGGCACGAAGGGTCCTGAGGGTCTGAGGTAGGGGGGGAGGGGGCTCTTTAGTGTGCCATGCCATGCTATCTCAACTGGTCGCACGTATTGAGGTGCGTCGGTTTTGAGCACCCCCATGGTTGCGCTGAGCAGCTTGTGTTGCCAGGTTCTGTCCTCGAAGGCTGCTGGACAGATTTGCGATGGCTGGCAGGTGCCCCAACCGGCCAAGCGTTTCACAGCCATACTGGCCAGCATATAGCATCTCACCGAAGAAATGTGCCGTTTTAAGGTCCAACAAAAGCTGTGAGTCTTTCCAAAGACGCAGCAGCTCCGTCCCGCCCAGTCTGTGGCAGGCCATTCAGAAAGTCGGCCCTTGCCACAAGCATTTCTTGGTGCCACTAGTTGACAGAGCGACTAAGAGATTGGGCATGGGCGAGTCAGCGGTCAGACTGCCAGACTGTGGACCTTGTGTGGAGGCTCTGGCATCCGTCACGCAGGAGGCCTTTGCCAAGAACTGCGTGTGGGCGAGCGTGTCTTTGTGTCTCTTTGTCGTTGCAACACGGCCCTTTTTGATTTGGTGAAGACTCGGCTGAAGCCGGACGCGAAGACTTGACTGAAGCCGAATTGAAAGCCGCAAGGAGACGTTATTGGTTGAGCAGAGTTGCGCCCACTTTTGACTTGCCACCCCAACTGGCCCAACACGCGGGCGCTTTGCCTCATCTTGGCTCACTTCAGGTGGGCGAGCCTCCATCGGAGCCCAAAAAACCTCAGTTGTCTCAGGCGCTTGATCCTCAGAAATGCCTTGAAAGTTCACTTGCGAAGGAGAGGTTGTGTAATTCGCAGATGAGGCATCGGGCCCTGGTGCGCCCGCATGGTGCCCAGGAGGAGCCTCGTGGCAGGTATCGGCAGGTGGTGCCGCAGAGGACCTGACTTTTCAGAACTTCGGGATTCTACATTCATTATACTGGTGCTTGAGAGATCAACTCGGCAACTAGGCCGAAAGCAGGAGCCGGGGCGAGTCTGAATGTGCGTGCTCCGATGGCTCAAACACTCCCTGGCAAGCATGAGAATAAACTAGTGACTTACGAAACGGAAGGCAGCAGGAATAAGGGCTTGATTCGACAAACTGCATGACACCATAAGATGCAGCGTAGCGAAGAGCACAAACATGGAAGACCGATAGCCACCCCAACTGCCAACATTTGACAACAGGTTTCTTGGCCTTTCGCCATGGGCCAGCGGTGCCCGTGCCGCGAGATCAAGGCTTTTTGGGGGCACTGCGATTGAGGGCACCCACAGCTGCTCGAGCATGGCATACTTGCACCAAGACCTTCAGGATGTGGCTGCACCAGACAGTCCCGGTGGGGGAGAGGTGCAGGCCATCGTCCAGGAGCGAACAAGGGCTGAGTACGGTCGAGTGCCATCGTGTGAGGAAACGCTCCATGTCTTCAAAGCCCTGACATGCATCTTGCATGCTATCGATCTGTCCTCATTAACAGTTTTCGTCAGAGGAGAGGACTGAACCCCTCAGCATAACGGACGGTAAGGCGGCCAAGGCGCCGGAGGGGCTAGGGTTTGTGCTATGCAGCAAATTTCTGTCGTGGTCTGCAACTGAAGTCGGCTGAAGTGAGAACTATCTGATATCATTTGATCCTATCTATGTGCTGTGCTGGAATGTGGACAGACAGGCCGCTGCCTGCTCAGGATGTAAGGCCAGCCTCTAAAGCCAAAGCCTCGCACAACCTCAAGCTTCCTAGTAATGGGAAGCAATAGAAACGAATGAATACCTAAATGAGTTAAACACAAACAGAGTTATATGCATATACGAACTGGTATATTCACATACACATATGAAAATAACAATATCAATATATCACCGCAAAATATGGCCAAGCATTTTAATGCACGAATATGTCAGCATACTAGTATTAACACTGTGTCCATATGTTTATTTATCGATATATTCGCAGATGAGTAAGCACATACACCGCCTATATATGCAACCATATATACAGATACATATATAGAAAGATGCGCCATACACATATATACATACATACACACACACACATATATATTGATATGTGAATCTCAATATCTCTCTCTTTCTCCCTCACCTTCTCCATCGACCTATCGGTTCCATCGCCATCCTCCGCTCTGGACTCCTCTTGTCTACGTGATCACCCGCATCTCGCCTTTGCTCCCACGCAGGCTCCGGCGTCGACTGCGCAAGGCGAAGCGAAGGCCAAGCCAGAGGAGCGACAGATGTCCTGGGTGCTCCCTCCCGGAAACAAGCTTACTGCCGGGAGCCCAGAACCAATCGGATTCGTCCCACCAAGGCTGTTACTGTAGAGCTGAGCCCGTGCCAAGAGATCCAAGAGCACAGATGAACATTGGAAGACTTTCTCTCTTTGCAACAGCATTCCGCCGTGATTGAGAAGCAAGCACGGTTTACTGTTTGCATGCATGGGTTTCCTCAGGTAATGATGTTCGGAATGACAGGGGCCGGCAAAAGTGCCCTTGGAAATCTCATAGCTGGCGCACAAATCTTTGATTCAGGCACGTGTCGGGAGCGGAAGGTTAGTGCTCGACCGTAGCCTTGATCTGCTGGCAAGCGCTGAGTGAGTACCATCCTTTGGGGGGCATTTGTGCAATGATTGAGTCATGTGCCTAAACTTCCATTGCGTTCTTGTGCAGGCGACGACACTTCAAGCGTGCCATGCCTCAACTGTAGCGGTGTGCCACGGTGCATTCGCACGCGCATGCTTTCCACACACAGATGTGCAGAACAGGCACGCGTCATGGAATAATCAGCCAGAGAGCCTAGCAGCTTAGATAACGAACCTGGATTCCATCATGAAGCAGCTGGGCGGCAAAGCAACCGAAAGCAATGGTTGATACCGGTATTGCAGAGGCCAAGGGTTTCCTTGTCTTGGCTCCTCAGATCTAGTCACTAGTGAGTGTTTTGAGTGCTGGGTTCGCTGTGTTTTTGTCCGCACATGGCTAGACGTGGGACTGCCGGGTTGTCCAGCAGATTCTTGTAAATTCTTGTTCTTGTGGTAGAGGCTGACAGGCTGCCTTCCGCTAGCTGTTATCATGGCCGGATCCGATGGTCTAAGAGCCCACAATCGTCAGGGCCGTCCTCTTTAGTGAAGGTGCGCTGGAAGACCAAGGGCGTTTTGTTCTCGTTTCTGCTGAAGACGAGAATCAGATCTTTGCCTGATGCATTGCTTGACAGTCGTGTCAGGCTAGTCATGCCGATGTCTTGAAGTCCAGTCCGTTCAGGGATACTGGGGACGAGGGGCCCAGCTTGCAAATGTACAACTGTCCAAGAACCCGATCGTAAACCAATGACATATTTTTTCTTCTCCGAGTTGATTCTCACGTCCTGTCTTCCCAGCGGGTTTTCTGGGCAGAAATCCATTGGCATTCGACAGTAGCAATCCACACCCTGACGGACTTTGAACACCAAAATCACCCCCAAAGGAAAATCGAAAGCTAAACCAGAATCAAAATCCCTAAGCAAAGCTCCGGCTGTTCCTGGCAGCAAAGCAATCCTACAGAGAGTGGGGGGCCGAAGAAGTACAGAAGAAGCAGACGGGGGGATTCTCTCTCGCTTCCCTCCCCCTAGACCCTAAACCCTAAACTCCGACGCTTGGGTTTTTTCTTGGGTTGGTGCTTTGGGTTTTTGGTTGGTTTTGGCTTGGGTGTGGTGTGGGGTGTTGGGTTTTCCGCTTGTCTCTTGGCAGTGGGGTGTGCGCACAGGCTGGCTGGTCTGTATAGTTTGCAGGTCGGCGGAGCTCAGGGTTTTTTCCCAAACGAGGTTTTTCCCTGAGCTTGCTTGCTTGAGTCTTGCTCTTAAACTCCGACCGAGTCCTTGCCTGCCTTGTGCGAGTGCGAGAGCCGAAACCCTAAACCCTAAACCCTTGTTGGTGTGGCTAGTCGGGTGGCAAAAAAAAACCCTTGTTGGGTGGTTTGGAGCAAAGGGCACGCTCCAGGCAGTGTGAAGCATACAGCCTTGTGATGCAGGTGTTACATCGTTCGGATCCATGTGGGATGGTTTGTGTTCTTCTCCTGGGTTCTAGCAAGGTTGCAGCGAACGGGCTGCGGAGGCAGACTCGCCCTCCCCGATTCAGCCCCGCTAGAAGATGTGATCCCAGCAGGCTGCGCAAAGTTGTGCGGTCGCTGTGAAGAGTAGTGCATATATGGCACCTGCCCTGCTAACTGAAAACGCGCTAGTGCGGTCTGAACCTTATTGTGCTGGAGTGTAGGAGGAATAGCTGGGCAGGGAGACGTTAACCGGGACTATGCCGGTCCACAGTTTTCGGCGCGCCAATGGGTTGCGCGTCTTTCTCCCGATGACCTCGACTTGTCCCTGCGGAGTGGGCGCTGGATGTGCGTGCGGTGCGGGTGGCGAAACCCTAAGCCCTAAACCCTAAGCCCTAAACCCTATTCAAAAGAAAGGTACGAGGCTGAGGATGGCTCCTTGGTTGTGCTCGACACCATCGGCCTGGGAGACACGGAGATCGACCAGGACAAGGCCGGGCTGCACCTTCCCAGGGTTTCGGGTTTAGGGTTTAGGGGTTAGGGTTTAGGGTTTAGGGTTTAGGGTTTAGGGCCCTGTCTTTTCCCATGTTTTCCTTTTCCCTCTTTGCCTGCCTTCTCTCTCCTTTCCTTTTCTCTTTTGATTGGAGGAGGGGGGGGGAGGGGTGGGAATTGTCTGTCAAAATGACATTCCGACTGAAAGATGACAAAAAGGTGGTGGCAAGCATCAGGGACGTGGCGCTGTCGGCTTTGTGGCTCGGCGGACCACCTGGCGAAGTCATCTTTGTTCAACTTGCGCGTTCTTGCTGCTTAGGCGGTAGGACCGTATAAGCCATGCGGTTTTCCCTGCTGTGCCTGCGGAGGCTGCACAGCAAGGCTTTGTATGTCTGCCGTTCCTGGTCAGTCGAAGGCATGGAGTGGACTGCCTACTGTATGTGATGCGCAACGCCCGCATTACCGATGATGCGATCGACACTTGGCTGATGACACTGTCCCTGACTACCAGCAACACTGTAGTGGTACTAGAAGGTGAGCAGCGGGGATGCTCCGGACGGTTTCTTCGCACTTTGCGAGCTGGTTGACATGCAGTTCCACTTGCCAGCAAGTCTTGAGTTGATCACTTGAGCATGGTGGCAACAACGCCAGGCACGGCTAATTTACGTCACTGAATATCTTTGGGGCGATGCTTCTTGGCCATGCAATTACCTCGTGTGTCTTCTCATAGTTGTCGGCACAGATGTGCGACACAAAGCGAGTCCTGTACCTGATTAGACGAGAGTAACATCACAGTGCTAAATCAGGGTTGTTGACCGGTTGCCTGATCTTTCGCAGGTTGGAGCGGGACTGCAAATCAGGTTTTGGACCTTATTGTCAGAACGTAGGCTTAGAACATTGCAGCAGCTGGGACCCCACTTGAAGTTCCAAGCACTCCGCACAATAACCTTTGCATCGCTGCGGCGAGCAGCTTCCAGGAAAGCCTTCTAAACCTGTACATTGTGGTCACTTGCGCCAGCAAGTATGCGCGAAGTCGCGAGGAAGCAGAAGCTGGGCCGTGAAAGACGGGGCCTCTTCGCGTGAGGTGTAAGTCCCCTCGTTTTAGGAGTTGGGTTTGACCCCTTTCGCACAACCATTTTACAAGCTGTGGGATGCAATTAAATCTACCCTTACGCTACGGGCGCGCGGTGTGTCAGAGGTTCAGGGGGATCGAAAGACACTGTTTCAAGATCACTTGCAGAATGAGGCAGCGGCATGTTCTTTTGTCATTGTGTTGCCTTTGCTGACCTGTGTGGAAAAGGGGATGAACAACTCATGGACGAGGGAAGTGCTTCAGCTCTTTGCACGAGTCTTTGGGATGCTGCGACTTGCGCATGTTTCGTCA